ATAGTATCCATTGGTGCTAAGTGAGGACGAGAGACATAAGCTCTGGTTTCGTCAGGACACTGAGTTCTCGCTTCCCAGAGGTAATGCATAATGTGTATCAATAATATAGCATAAGCGCGTAAGCTTTCTGATACAAGTGATGCATGAAAGCAATGCAATTGTAAAGCAAACAATTCAACGACACCCGTACGACGCTTTTTAAAAGAGCTGCCTGGGTGGGACGCGAACCCACGGTGCTGCTCTCCGTAGGCAGAGTGCTCTACCCACTACTACCACGGCACAGGGCTCAAACTTTCGTCATACTTTAATATGTGTGTTTCAGCTTTTGTCTGCTTGATTCTGGAGAATCCTGTCCACAAGATCTCTGCTAAAAAGTGAGTTCATTCATGTTCAGTATAACATCCCACACTAGTTGGTGATTTTGCTGTCCCCCCTAAATAAGGGTGTCGACGATTTTGCATTTGTTGTAGGCACAAGAATGGAAAAAGAGACAAACCAACTATCCTTAATAAATTGACTACAGTTGGAGTATGGAATAGTATAATCTTCTATCTCGCTGCACACATCCCTATCTCACCCAAATTTTCGCTGTCCCCCCTAAATAAGGGTGTCAAAGATTTTGCATTTGTTGTAGGCACAGGAATGGGAAAAAGAGACAAACCAACTATCCTTAATAAATCGACTACAGTTGGAGTATGGAATAGTATAATCTTCTATCTCGCTGCACACATCCCTATCTCGCCCAAATTTCACTGTCCCCCCTAAATAAGGGTGTCAATGATTTTGCATTTGTTGTAGGCACAAGAGTGGGAAAAGAGACAAACCAACTATCCTTAATACTTTGACTACAGTTGGAGTATGGAATAGTATAATCTTCTATCTCGCTGCACCTATCCCTATCTCGCCCAAATTTTGCTGTCCCCCCTAAATAAGGGTGTCAGAGATTTTGCATTTGTTGTAGGCACAAGAGTGGGAAAAGAGACAAACCAACTATCCTTAATACTTTGACTACAGTTGGAGTATGGAATAGTATAATCTTCTATCTCGCTGCACACATCCCTATCTCGCCCAAATTTCACTGTCCCCCCTAAATAAGGGTGTCAATGATTTTGCATTTGTTGTAGGCACAAGAATGGAAAAAGAGACAAACCAACTATCCTTAATAAATTGACTACAGTTGGAGTATGGAATAGTATAATCTTCTATCTCACTGCACCTATCCCTATCGCGCCCAAATTTTGCTGTCCCCCCTAAATAAGGGTGTCAACGATTTTGCATTTGTTGTAGGCACAAGAATGGAAAAAGAGACAAACCAACTATCCTTAATAAATTGACTACAGTTGGAGTATGGAATAGTATAATCTTCTATCTCACTGCACCTATCCCTATCGCGCCCAAATTTTGCTGTCCCCCCTAAATAAGGGTGTCAATGATTTTGCATTTGTTGTAGGCACAAGAGTGGGAAAAGAGACAAACCAACTATCCTTAATACTTTGACTACAGTTGGAGTATGGAATAGTATAATCTTCTATCTCGCTGCACACATCCCTATCTCGCCCAAATTTCACTGTCCCCCCTAAATAAGGGTGTCAATGATTTTGCATTTGTTGTAGGCACAAGAATGGAAAAAGAGACAAACCAACTATCCTTAATAATTGACTACAGTTGGAGTATGGAATAGTATAATCTTCTATCTCACTGCACCTATCCCTATCGCGCCCAAATTTTGCTGTCCCCCCTAAATAAGGGTGTCAACGATTTTGCATTTGTTGTAGGCACAAGAATGGAAAAAGAGACAAACCAACTATCCTTAATAAATTGACTACAGTTGGAGTATGGAATAGTATAATCTTCTATCTCACTGCACCTATCCCTATCGCGCCCAAATTTTGCTGTCCCCCCTAAATAAGGGTGTCAACGATTTTGCATTTGTTGTAGGCACAAGAATGGAAAAAGAGACAAACTAACTATCCTTAATACTTTGACTACAGTTGGAGTATGGAATAGTATAATCTTCTATCTCACTGCACATATCCCTATCTTGCCCAAATTTTGCTGTCCCCTCCAATAAGGGTGTCAACGATATAGCATTTTTTGTAGGAGCAAGAATGGAAAAAGAGACAAACCAACTATCCTTAATAAATTGACTACAGTTGGAGTATGGAATAGTACAATCTTCTATCTCGCTGCACCTATCCCTATCTCGCCCAAATTTCGCTGTCCCCCCTAAATACGGGTGTCAACGATCTATCTATCCTTAATACTTTGACTACAGTTTGAGTATGGAATAGTAACATCTTCTATCTACAAAATACACTGTAGGGCAAACAATTCTGTGTGGAGTTAAATTTCATGAAACCTACCTGTTGTGCATAAATTTCCCCCCCACCCCATGCGAATCCTAAACTACTTCTGCTTCGGCAAATCCGAATGTAAAGAGTGTTTGTCCTGGCGTGCGCGTGTGCCCGGCCGGCCAGCCCGGGCTTCCCGCACGTGCACGTGAGCTCATAATGACTCGAAGGACCCTCCACACCTTTTGCTTTCTTCATTTGCAGTGCTGTCTTGCTGGAGATGTTTGTGGAGCTACTTAGCCTCAACATGTCTGGGACGATCTATAATGCTGAGGTGGCACTGCTTGAGTAAGTCATTGACTTTCAAGATGAGAGGATCATCGAGAAAAAAAACTGCAAGAGTTACATATAATGTGGTTTGAAATGCAGCGCTGTACTAAAGAGTGTGCATTTAATAGAAATCATGCATACTTCCGTGCCTATGTGCGCTAGGAATCACTGTACTGTTTCTAGCATTGAATGTCTGTCGATTCTTCATGATTTTTGCAGATATGCATGTAGTGTGGAGAACAGAGGAGTTGTTATTAAAGTCAACGGTCTGAACGAGAAGCTGCCGGTAAGTCTACTGTCGTACCTAGTCGTACTACTGTGGTGTATTATTATGTCGTCTGTTTCTCTCTTCCGTGGTATAGTCACTGTTCAAAATGGTGGTGGACTCAGTTGCCTCGTTCTCAACTACACAGGGGGATTTTGACATGATAAAGGTATGCACACTATGAGCGCTCTTCCATTAACCGAAAGTGGTATTTTGCCATTTACACCTAGTATGAAAATGTGACAAAAATTCTAACAGCTACACTCTTATATAAATTGTTGTGTGTTTTTCCTTCCACCCGGTGAAGGAAGGACTCCACCGGTCTTATCGAAACAGTGACCTTGATCCTGAAGCCTTCTGCAGGTAACGCCCCTATCCTGCTTTCCACTAGGTGGATTATGTTTGTGTGTCCATCTTGCTTATTTCGTGGGTGATGTAAGCACTGAGACGGATGATGGCTTTCTTCACAGGGCTACCTCAGATTTATAATGCCTGCATCTCGCTCCCGATCTCACAATGTATGTGTGTGTGTATGTACGCAGGTCAACCCGACTCAGGGTTCTTCTGCCGCAGTACTGGAGTTCTTCACAGAGAGACTCTGAAATCGATGCACTAACAATTCAGGATCTCACGGTAAGCCCCTAATCTGTTTGACGTTATAATGTCCCAACAGTATACTTCATGTTTACTGCCCACTGAATTTACTTCAAACAGGAGCTCTTGGAGCAGTATGGAGCACACATGTTTGCAGAAATGTTGATTCAAGGCAACATGACACCGGAGGTAATGGTAACAGCTCACGCTCTTGATGTGTACACATTTTGGTTCTGCAGGAAGCAAAGGACTTGGCTGTTTACCTCCGCCGGTAAAATACTAATGTTTCTGTTCATACTTTACTCTGTGCACTGATTGATAGTGAGATGGATTTCGGGCCTCTCTCGAGGGAGCAAAGATTCAAGGTTAGCCAAAGACCAACATTCTAGTCCCTGACTGTACATTGCAATGCAGCCCGGTGTGAAGTGGTTGCCAGAAGGTAGCCTCGTGACTGTGGAAATGGCCAACAGAGACCCAGACAGTCCCAACACTGTCGTTACTGACTACTATCAGGTGATCCACCCAACACACTGCCACTATGTCACTGCTGGCTCTGTCACTTCTTCCACACCCTTCCCCTTCTCTCTCCTGGCGAACCACCCACGCATGCATGCTCACAACACACTGAGAGTTTGCACTTTGTGCTTCGGAACCACATTAGCCAATTTGTGCCTCTTAAACAGAATGTGGCAGTATATAAGGGCTAAATTTAGAAATGGTACTAAAAAGCAATAGGGGCACAGTGAAAGAATGCAATTAAGTTCTGTTTTTAAATTTAACCCTTATATACTGCCACATTCCCTTTGGCATGTCAGCCGCACATGAAAGTCCTTCTATCCATACTTTAGTGCTATAGCTTGTAGTGTACGTATGTACAGTACATAATGATTATGTTACACTCAGTCCTGTCCAAGAACAGATAGGGATTCGACTATTGCGTCACTGCTAGTGGTAAGATCTCATCTTCATTGTGGTAACGGTCTACTGACGAGGGTTTATGCTACCCTCTCAGTCTTGCATGGAGGAACCAGCTTTTGATGACCTCAGAACAAAGAAGCAACTTGGGTATGTCGCATACGGCAGGACAATTCCGACAAAATCTCTTTCTCTTGAATCAAATTTTTTTCCCACTCAATTAGAAGGCACGAAAAAGAAGTTTCGCGTCCCTCCCCTCGTGAAAGGGTAGTGGGGTAATGGAAATGTTAAAAAAACTCCCATGCGGGGAATCGAACCCCGGCCACGGCGGTGAGAGCGCCGAATCCTAACCACTAGACCACATGGGACTGCCTGTGGTGAACCTTTGCTATTGTGAACGTTACTTGCGCTGCCACCTTCTGTCTGCTGCAGGTACACTGTGTCTCTGAACTACCACAACTATGAGATGGTTGCATTCTCACTGACAGTCGTTTCACAGCCAGCTAAAAATAGGTCTCATGTGCACAATACATACATATGCAGTCACGTTTACGCATATTTACACGTTTTTCTACCTGCTCCGCGTGTTTTCTTCGTTTTAGCGTGTTTTTCACACTGCTCTAGCGTACTGTAATGAATTCCACTGATTTTATGCGTTTGTGCTGCGTTTGTGAGACACGACATATTACGTATATTTGCGTAAGCCAAATTCTCATGCAACTTTGGTGTAATAGTATGGCAGCAACATGCAGCAAAGCTTGCAGGAATGTGTAAGTTGTGCCTATGGATTGTGTGGGCCCATCGTGCCCCCTTATAGCACCACAACAAAGCTTGGCCATTATACATATGGGAATCCTATAACCATACTCACTCAAAGGCTCTCCCACATAAGTATGTGGGGGTTAGCAAGCTACTGTACTAGTCCTGATTAAGGGGTCTACTCTATTCACTATATTGAATGTTACAGTCGTGTAATTATTGCATATTGAGACTGGGAGTGATGCAACATGGGCCGATGCCAACCACAAATTTCGCAATTGCTGTGATTAGCTAGGGAGGAAAATCATAGGAATCATCACACACACCATAGAACTGTACTATCACACACACAGTGGACAGCTCATGTACTATCATGTACTGTACTATCACACACACAGTGGACAGCTCATGTACTATCATGTACTGTACTATCACACACACAGTGGACAGCTCATGTACTATCATGTACACACATTATATACACACTGTGCTCCTTATTACCTCACCCAGTGTTGAAAAGGTTGAGGAGTGTATGCAGAACTTTGTGGCTGGTTTCTGTGAGACGCTCAAGTCCTGGAACAAGAAGATATTTCAGTCGCATGTGAGCCAGAAAATCATCCTCAACTTGCTTTGTCTCTATGTCTGCAATGAAGCATAAGCTAATCAAGCTACGTTACTCCTGGTGCTCATCGTGCCAAAAACATCATCCAAAAGCACTCTTAGCCATATATAGTAGAATAGTCTTCTGACTTTTCAGACACAGAACAACTAGGTCTCACTGACTATGTGGTTGGTCCATCCATATCTTTATATTTAATGTGAAATCACACACACCTTCGAAGCACCAATATTCTATAACTGATATTGTGTGCACATCCCATTGGACCTGATGCTCCACATGTAGAAAAAAACCATGCAACTTTGGTAAGGCAGTAACATGCAGCAGGAATGTAAGTTGTGCCAATGGAATGTGACATGTATAGTGGAACCCCTCTCTAAGGACACCTTTTCTCTTCGCAAGAACAACTTTTGCAATACCAACACCTCACTACTCTGATATCCAGAGAAAGAGGCGTTTCACTGTATATACAATGCACACTTTCACTCCAGATTGACTCGGCGATACAAGAGAGGCTGGAGCCAGACGTATCTCTGGAGGAGGAGGTGGGCAGAAACTGGGGCGAGATCCTGCACAGCAAATACTGCTGCTTTGACCGTCACCTCAAAGAAGTGAGAGGAAATGCCTACTAACTGCATACTGCATATATAATAGCTTTCTGAAGTTGTAAGATATTTGTGTCAAGACCTTCATCAGCAATATCAATTTGATTTCCTGTTGTTTGGCCTGCGATGATCAAAATAATTTGACTGACAACCTCGTTGGCCCACCGCAGCCTTTTGATGATGATGATGACGATGTAATATTTATTCTGCTCACTCATTGATCCAAGCCACCCTGCGATATTTGATCATTTGCTGGTTGCTAGGTGGAGGTTTTGCGTGAGTTGACGCAGCAAGAGGTGTGCGAATGGCTCTGCAGCTATACTCAGAAAGGAGATTCCTTGAAGCAACTACGAGTGAAGGTAGGTCTATGGATGGCACCTACATTTTTTCCTCGCAGAAATTTTTCATTAGGTGGAAAGCAAGGACTCTTTGCCAAAGGCTGAAGGTGTTAGTGACACAGACGGACCTTCAGGGGGTCCTGAAGGTCTAAACTACGTATTACTGAAGGAACATGACATTGATAGATACAAAGACAAGCTGCAGACTTTTACCTCGTAGCATCAATAATCCCGAAGATAAGTACGCATGCGCGTGAGCGTTACGTAAACACGCCATGTTTTTATGCAAGAGACAAACAAGCGAAGCAGCAGCAAGCTCCACCTCACCTGCTGACGAGAGAGAGTTCGGTGTTAGAGCTGATCCTACTGCACAGCTTACTATACGTCCAGCCTCGGTCTTAGAGGCTCCGCGGGCGTTAGAAATACGTTTCCCTGACGCCAAACGGCGGCTCGTTGTCAAGTTGAAGCTGCAGGAGGACCCACAAAGAGTTGCAGTCAATGGCGGCAGGGTATCGAGTCTACGAAGCCCTATACGAATTCGTAGCGAGGGAATTGTCAGAGCTGAGTATCGCCGAGGGAGAGAGGGTAGTCGTGTACGAGAAAGCAGGCGGCGGGGGATGGCCGGACCCGGCCAAGTGGATGAGGGGCACGAACCAAGCTACTGGGCAGACTGGCGACTTTCCCGGCACCTACTGCAAATTCCTGGAAGAAGTAGCGCCCGCCCCACCACCTCCAGTGGCGGAGCGTTCACGGCTCCCTGATCCCGTGGTGGCCGACGCGCCTCCTGTGCCGCCCAGGAGAGGTAAGAGGGAGGGAGGGGAGGAGGAGAAGGCTTCCAAGGGGGGCGGTGGAGGTTGAGGTTGAGGGGCCTCTGGCACGCGCTGGTAACGAAGTGCATTATCTCTGCAGCAACAAACACTGTGCTCCTCTGGACCCATACACTGTATAGCTATATAGCTAAGAAGTTGGATGGACACCGTGAATTTTAGTGCAATCACACGCTACATTTATGTCATCCTGTTTGTAGCACAGTACCTATACGCAGTGTGTGGGAACGAGTGCTGTAGATTTTCCTGTTTGAAACTGCATGCATTTTTACCCGCTGACTTACCGTCCTCATTTTGACTCTCTTTTCCGCAGGGCGGCCTTTGTAGCCCCCCGACCCATGCATGCACATACACATGTTTGAGTGTTTGTTTTTACTTTTCACTGCTGTTTGTTGTAGTCGAAAGGGCCACACTGCGTCTGTGCATAGTGTGTGTGTATATGACTGAAAGTGCTGTTGCATTTCCTTAATACCTGGTGCACTTTCGTAACCTGCATATTACAGTATATATCGCTACAGTCCAAGATACACCTATTGTGTTATGTTTATGAGAACACTCTCAGGCTATTCTGTTGCATGGTGTTGTGGTGTTCACCGATGTAAGGCATCACTAGCTTCTCGTAATACTATCGCAATACCCGCAAGCGTTTAAATGTTTGCCGATAACATACAATATTGTGGTCTTGAGGAACTCTACACCGTGTTGCTCAGGATTAGGGTGTGAAGGGGAGGAGAGCGCGAAACCCGATTACCTGTTCTAAAAGGGTGTTTGTTTTACAGACAAGTTCCACCTGTGCTAGCGGTGTGTACGCCGAGAAAACATTGCCGAAATTGAAAACTGCCATGGGGCGGGTGGGGGTGGGTTATGAGCCTTACATACTTCTTGTTGCAGTATCTAATTTGCCGTAAACTCAGGATAATGGTTCTATAATAGATTGTCCTATGGAAAATATGGTCCCTGGAATCGATTGGTAATTGTCATATCCTGCCTTTAGTACAATGCTACGGTGATGGACATGTGTAGGATGCTGATAAGTAAGAGGGCGCTCTAATGGGGGCTAATCCTGGTCTTTGATATACCCACGTGCCCTCAATATCCCCCTATTGTCATCGCACACGTGCCATAAGAAAGTATGTACATTACAGTACGTACGTATACATTTTGTACTTGTCCTTTGTATGCGATATGAATTATGTGGGAATGGTGCCCGTGTGTTGTAATGCATGAGTGGGGGTTGATATGTATAGGTTTGTTATGATACCACTGAGGTCATGGTTTCTGCCTCCCTCGTTCCCTCAACTTCACCAAATTCTCTCTCTCTCTCTCCTTGCTGCCTCCGCTCCCCCTCTTTCATCTCCTCATTATCCCGCCTTTTCCTTTCTTCTAATTCTCCCTCTGTTCTCTCTCGTTTTCTTCCATGTACATCCCTCCCCCTCCTTACCAATTCCCTCCCTCTCTCTCATACCTCTCTCCCTCTTCCCCCTCTCCCCCCGTCTCTCTCTCTCTCTCTCTCTCCTAGGAAAGCCATCGTCTCCTCCGCCCGCAGAAGGCATACTACCTCCAAGAATAATCCCACGTAAACCACGTCACTCACTCGACAATTCACTGGGTCCCCAATCCACCGGCTCCGGTCGCAACCTCACCCCCGAGCCTCAGGAGCCGCCAGAGAGCCACGAATGGTTTAAAGTAACCTTCCAACTCCCAGTTCAGTGTATCGCATGTGAGTACAGTTATGTATACATGTGACAGTATGTATAAGTGCTAAATTTAGAAACTGTTACTAAAAACGGAAACTTGATTGCATTCTTGCACTGGGGCCTGTTGTTTTTGTTCCATCTTTAGTACCTTACGTGTATTGACTGACATATTTCCTTTAATGTGTTTCATGAATGTGCGAGTGCTTGTTTAAGGCATCCCTGGCATTTATGTTACCACCCACAGACACTGATGTGTCCAGAGCCTCCATAAGCCCATGAAAATCCAGGCTCTATTGTAATTTTCTGCTTGTTTAAGGAAATCCCATGCCGTTCCAAAGGGATAAACTATGCATGCCACTAACCGCATGGGAACACTGTAATTTGTAATATGTGTATGTGTACTGTTTTTTACAGAAGAATGTCGTATGAACTATGGATTTATTATGTCACAAGCACAGTGTTGCATATGGGATTACATCTGTCCTCAATGCCTGCAGTAAATGTTTTACCTGATAGCGTACACATTATGTAAGTAGCCATATATTATTATTATTGTTTCAATGTGTAGGTGACGACTTTATCTGGGGCTCAGCAAACGGAGGCTGCAAGTGCGAGCGTAAGTCACATGACCATTGCATTCCGGTCACCTGACTTGTCACATGATCTGCAATGATTGCAGGGTGTCTCTTGACGTGTCACGTCCACTGTATGCAGCACGTGGACACAAACATACTCTGCAACTGCTGTGGTGAGTAGCTATCTCAGTGTAGCAAAGGTTTTTTGGTGAGTAACTATCTCAGTGTAGCAAACGTTTTTTTTTGGACAGCCATTAGATGTGCTACATGTATTATTATGCGGGATGAGTGTCATATTAAATTTTGTTGTTTCGTCAAAACTCCAAATTTGTAATGGTCGCCACTATTACTGATATTCCTCTCTCCAGACTGACGATAAAGTTTCTGTCACAGATGGAATATGCACATACTGTCAGCGTAAGTCTGGTAGCAACCTGTACAGTGCAATAATATGGTGTATGTACTATCTCGATCATCTGTCGCTGGATTACATAAGACCGTTAGCAGGAAACTATGAGCCTTGAAGTTTCCTTATGCATTGCAGAATCAACACTCTTGTAAAGTGTACTCATATTGAAGTATGCACTGCAATCAAGCAAATCCACAGTAGCCATAAAGTGTACTGTATATACATTTTTGATAGGTATAATGTATGTATACACTACTGTATGTATGTGAACTATACACTTGCCTTGGCTCTAAAGTGTGAAAAGCCGCTGTTTCACTTTCAACAACATTTGCAGGACCTGTACATACATACTTTCACACACATTTTATTACTAAACACACACCACCCACCCCACGCCGGGCGGTTCAAGTGGAGGGGTTTTGTGTGCCGTTACATTTGCCTTGTCTTGTGTTGCAAGAGCTCTGTCTGCTGAGCTGCCTTGGTATGGAGCTCATTAGGTAGAGCATGCCTTGTCTTGTGTTGCAAGAGCTCTGTCTGCTGAGCTGCCTTGGTATGTAGCTCAGTAGGTAGAGCATGCCTTGTCTTGTGTTGCAAGAGCTCTGTCTGCTGAGCTGCCTTGGTATGTAGTAGCTCAGTAGGTAGAGCATGCCTTGTCTTGTGTTGCAAGAGCTCTGTCTGCTGAGCTGCCTTGGTATGTAGCTCAGTAGGTAGAGCATGCCTTGTCTGTGTTGCAGACTTTCTGCTGACTGCTGATGTACCAGTAGAGCATGCCTGTCTGTGTGCAAGGCTCTGTCTGAGCTGCCTTGGTATGTAGCTCAGTAGGTAGAGCATGCCTTGTCTTGTGTTGCAAGAGCTCTGTCTGCTGAGCTGCCTTGGTATGTAGCTCAGTAGGTAGAGGCATGCCTTGCCTTGTGTTGCAAGAGCTCTGTCTGCTGAGCTGCCTTGGTATGTAGCTCAGTAGGTAGAGCATGCCTTGTCTTGTGTTGCAAGAGCTCTGTCTGCTGAGCTGCCTTGGTATGTAGTAGCTCAGTAGGTAGAGCATGCCTTGTCATGTGTTGCAAGAGCTCTGTCTGCTGAGCTGCCTTGGTATGTAGTACAGCTCAGTAGGTAGAGCATGCCTTGTCTTGTGTTGCAAGAGCTCTGTCTGCTGAGCTGCCTTGGTATGTAGTAGCTCAGTAGGTAGAGAGCACTCTGCCAGAACAGAGTGCTGTGGGTTCGAGTCCCATCTAATGTATGTAGGGCAGCCTCTTTGAAATGTAGCAACTAAACAAGTAAGAATGTAATTAAGTTGGCGTTTTCAGTCACACTTTCTGAATTTAGCCCTTATAGTATACTGCCATTTCCTTCAATCAAAGTTTTTTTTTATATGCACTGGCCTTGTGTTTACACCCACTCTCCATGCATATTCTTTCTCCACTCAATGCAGTCTTTCAACGAGTATTCGCTGACGGACGTAGAACTGTGGATGAAGGCCGTTCAGATAGACGCCTACTACCAACTGATGCTGGACTTTGGTGTCAAGAAAGGGGCTGACCTCAAGTACATAGGGGACCATGAACTACAGGTGTAGTACTTCTGTACCAGTACCTACAGTAGGTCATTAATAGTGGCGAGCGGGCGCCTTTGCTTTACGAAGCAAGTTCTTTGCAAAGTATGTATGCACATGAAGTATGCAAAAAGAGATATCTATTATCGCAAAAGAGTTGACTATGTTGTGGTTTTTGCCCAGAACAACTCCCCCGAATACGATTAACATACAATTTTAATTGACGCACGTACAACAGATCGCACGCAGATTAGACTTCATTGTTGTTTGTCTTGGTGACACACACTGTTGACACCTCTCTCTCTGTCTCTCTCTCACTGTGGTCTCGGTATGTTGTATTTAGGAAATGGGAGTGAATGATGAGTGGCACAGACAGACCATAATGGAGTGTCTGGACGAACTCTGCACGGGAGGGTCCTCTGTGGTGAGTTCACACCACACACACACACTCGCACATTCGCAATTTCTTGAATTCAATCTACGTACTTCCCCCCTCTCCCCCCCCAGGTCCCGGTGGTAGGACTGGAGGGAGACGAGATGGTGGACATGGGAGAGAACTTCCGCAGACTCCAGGGCATGGCCCTCTCCGCCTCTCTCTCCTCCATTCCCTCCATGTTTGCCGGAAACAAACGTACGATGCACGACACATTCACACATACGACATGTAACACCACACAGTTACGTAGATTCCAGTCTTCCGTTGTCTACTAGGATGCTGATCAAGGTGTCGTGTACAGCCTTATGCTTGTATATACAGAACCCAGTGATGGAGTACAATCAAGAATCAAACTTAGACACCTAACGTAAAACACATTTACTCATACCATGAACATTTCGTCTTTGGTGTAGTTGCCATGCGTGTACATACATAGCTGTTACAACGGATTTCAATTTCAAGCGTGACTGTGCCAGTAAACAAAACTGGCACGCACATGTCATTATAATATTCTCCTAATTAGTGGTGAGAAGGGGGGGATAGGATACAAAGCTCTGTAGTTCCAAACGATTTCCCTAATGAGCATTCCTCTGTAATTACCCTAAACAAGCTAACATATCTCTGTGTATTCACTGTCCCCTCCTCCCCCTCCTCCCCCTCCTCCCCCCTCTCTGTGACCAATTACCCTCCCCACCGACGGTCGATCTCTCCCCCCGCAGGTGCCGACAAGTTTGTTGGTGGTCATCACTTCAGGATGGACAGCTTCACGGCTCCGAGATGGTGTGACGTGTGCGGACGATTCATGTGGGGGCTTGTGAGGCAGGGGATGAAGTGCAAAGGTCAGCAGGCTACACCAGATCCAGTGTAAAGTTAGTGCTTATGAACCAGAGGAGGGCAAGCCTTGTGTCCGTGTTGTTCACAAACTCCAAGGGGGCGAGATTAATCAAGGGAGTGAGTCCGCCCCGGGGGGCCCCTTAAATGAACCCCTGGCCCCCCAAAACGAACCCCTGATCTGTGTGGTTTGGAGATACGTAGCGCGGGGAGGGAGAGGAGAGTGGGAGAGAAACTCAGGTCAGTGGAGGCCAAGTTTTGTTAGGGAAGAGAAGAGGATAGGAATGGAACCACCTGGAAATCTCCACTGTTGATAATTCCACTAGTTAGAGAGAAGTTGTGCACATGCACCCAAATTGGCAAGGGTTATACGCATAATGCAGCGGGAGACTTGTGTGGGATTAAGACTTTGGCTGTTTGCAAAGGATTTACACACAGACGTATGTACGAGCATCACAATCTGTGACTGAAGTTTTCTTCTCCTGTGAGATTCCTGTATATACTTTCATAAAGGGTTTCCTCTCTCTGACGCTACATGCTCTGTATGCGTTTCTTACTCTGTTTGTATGTACATGTCTGTTGTGTGCAGCGTGTCGTATGGTGGTGCATCGGATGTGTATGGTGGAGGGAATCCTAGGCTGTGAGATCTGGCAGAAGAAGAAAGCTGGAGGAGAGAGTGGGTTGCAGTAATACACTAACTCCTAATGATGCACACCTTGGGGACATTGCAATTAGGGGTGTCCCATGTATACAGGTAAAAGTGATGTGCAGGAAACATGGTTCCGGCACATTTCTGAATGTGCAGGAAACATGTTTCCGGTACTTTTGCATGTGCAGGAAGATTTTCAGTAAAGTGACATGGGTTTCTTCAGTTTATACCCTCACTTGAAAAACAAAGTTTCCTTATTTAAATGAGAGAGACGGTTAGAACTAAGTCTCCTCTTGTCAGCGGGTCTCTTTAGGAGTTTCACTGTATAAGTGGAAGACGGGAGAGGGATGGGAGGGAAAGGAGAGAGCATAAACATAATTTGGTTGTTTTGTTTACATATGACAGTTTTTAATTATTTAAATTTCGTGTTTTTTGTCTGCCAGTGCCGGTATTTGGAATAGACATAACATCGCAGTATGACGTCCACATGCAACCAGCACCCACCGTGGTCCTCAAATGTATCGAGGCCGTGGAAAGCAGAGGTATAAATCATTATTATTGTCACGGGGTGGGGGTTTTAGATGTGTTTATTTCTCTCTCGGTTGCCTAACATTTGTTCACGTCTTTGTTTTGCACTGGGACTACCAACGTTTCGTTGGGTCATTCTCAGGAAAAGAGAACGTGTAATTAGACGACTCCTCCTCCTCTCTCTCTCTCTCTCTCCTCCCTCCCCCCCTCTCTCTCTCCTCCCTCTATCAACACAGGTATCAGTCTTGAGGGGATATACAGAATCAGTCCAGCCCTGGCACTGGTCAACAAACTGAGGGCATCTTTTGACAGAGGTATATATTGTACACAACACGATATAGAGTATGTTTATTGCTGGTTAGACTACATACGTACTCGCTGCTGCTCATACATGGAAATGTACCACGTGTAATGTTCTACGTGATGCGTGCGAAACATTGACCTGATCGCGCTCGCTCGCCAAACAATTCCTCTAGTCAGTTTAAGCATACCCTCTCCCTCCATCCCCAGATGCGGAGGCGGTGGACATGTACACTGCAGAACCCCACGTCTTCTCGGCAGCCCTCAAACTCTACCTGAGAGAGTTACCCGTCCCCATCATGACCTACGACCTCTACCCTGACTTCATTGCAGCCGGAAGTGAGTGCTCGGACAAGCGGAAAAATTTGAAGGGAGGAACGTAAAATTTGTAGTTGTACCATAAATGACTTGTGCATAATGTGTCTGTGGTTTTTTTCACCATGGCAGAGGGAAGTGGATATGGAGCAGTGTTTTCAGGAGTTGAGCCACTTCTAGACAGATTGCCGCCTCATCATCGATCCACACTTGACACCATCCTCAAACACCTAGCCAAGTTAGTGTGGGGTGGGAGAGAAACTAGAGGAATAGGGAGGGGGAGTGAAAGAGAAGGAAAAAGGTGCAAAATGACTTAGCTCAAAGAAAAGTGCTTGCGGAGAAGTAAAAAAAATATGTCAGGAGTGGGATTAGAACCCACGCCTACATGAGTAGACTGCGACCTAAACGCAGCGCCTTAGACCGCTCGGCCATCCTGACTTTGTTGTGCATGCTTTGAAACATTTTACGTAGTGGACACGCTTTAGAAGACTCTTAGTTTCTCCTCAACGCTTCGTCTTTTTGAGGTCGCGGCATCCTGTATTTCACACTGCAATACAACGCTTTGCTGAGGTCAAACAGTCTTATGTACCAATTACCTGTTTATATTGGAGTGGTGTACGTTTGCTTCCCCTTCTAGAGTGGCTACATATGCACCTCAGAATAAGTCTTACGTAATTACCTGTTTATATTGGAGTGGTGTACGTTTGATTCCCTTCTAGAGTGGCTACATATGCACCTCAGAATAAGTCTTACGTAATTACCTGTTTATATTGGAGTGGTGTACGTTTGATTCCCCTTCTAGAGTGGCTACATATGCACCTCAGAATAAGTCTTACGTAATTACCTGTTTATATTGGAGTGGTGTACGTTTGATTCCCCTTCTAGAGTGGCTACATATGCACCTCAGAATAAGATGAACATCCAAAACCTGGCTCTCATATTCGGTCCTACACTCATCAGACCGCCGCCCGATAATATCAGGTATAGCGTATTTGATTTACTTTATGACCGTGCAGTGTGGCATTCCATAACAGATATACTATTGGGATAAGCTATTCAGTGGCATCCTGCTTACATATACAACGAGTTTGATAGTGTATTTGTGTTTATACAGTAGTGTATACACACGCCTTAGTGCAATAGCAGTGGTACATACGATGTAGACCGCTGAATAATTTGCCAGCGAAGCAAGATGTTACTCATCTGCGTCGCACGATTTTCTCAACAACAATGACTCTTCCGCACTTGCAAAACACTTGCAAAGTACGATTACACAAGCGATTGACATCGTGTGCACACTCTACGACCTGCTAGTGTAGTGACTAACTAAACAGTGTGTGAATTAGTTCTACGTTATGTATGTATGTACGTCTCCTGTATCATTCTGTAGTGAGCTGGTATGCAACAGTGAGATCCACTGTAAGATAGTGCAGGTACTGCTGGTCAAGGGCCACTGGGTCGAGGCACAAGAAGGTCAGTGTAAAACACAGTGGTCGGTCCACACGCAAGACCATACGTTTGTACACTACTCCACACATGATGCCGCAGCCCCTTTTGAGATGTAACTTAAGTATGGTTGTAGTGTAATTGCATGCCCTGAGGTTTTAAACAACAAGGTTATCTTGTGTGACATTTGCTGTATGATCATGTATGTGTACACGATGTCTCCTCATTCTATGCAGAGCCGAGCAATGCAATTTTGAGCAACCACTTGAAACGTAAGTCATGTCTCCTGTCCCTCGAAGCCATTACTACTCCCCCTCCCTCCCCTCCCCCTTCCTCCTCTTCCTCGTGTAGCTGAACCCCCCACAGGTCCTCCTCCAGTCATCATAAGACCCGTTTCCCCTGGTAACCACTGCAATGTACACACACACACACAGAGGTTAATAATATGTACTTAATGTGCAAACCTATTCAACATATACAATGTCTAACGTCTGTGTGTGATCCACAGTTCCCCACCGGCGATCGGAGAGACCTCCTCCTCCCATTCCTCCCTCCCCTCCCCCAAGTCCTCCCCTCGCTGCCTACATTGGTCCCATCCATGAACAGGGCTGGTACTGGGGAAACATTACTAGGTACATATACCTACATACTGTATGTATGTACACTGGCCATCCATGAACAGGGCTGGTACTGGGGAAACATTACTAGGTACATATACCTACATACTGTATGTATGTACACTGGCCATCCATGAACAGGGCTGGTACTGGGGAAACATTACTAGGTACATATACCTACATACTGTATGTATGTACACTGGTCCCATCCATGAACAGGGCTGGTACTGGGGCAACATTACTAGGTACATATACCTACATACTGTATGTATGTACACTGGCCATCCATGAACAGGGCTGGTACTGGGGAAACATTACTAGGTACATTATACCTACATACTGTATGTATGTACACTGGCCATCCATGAACAGGGCTGGTACTGGGGAAACATTACTAGGTACATTATACCTACATACTGTATGTATGTACACTGGCCATCCATGAACAGGGCTGGTACTGGGGAAACATTACTAGGTACATATACCTACATACTGTATGTATGTACATGGTCCCATCCATGAACAGCTGGTACTGGGGAAACATTACTAGGTACATATACCTACATACTGTATGTATGTACACTGGCCATCCATTACAGGCGGTACTGGGGAAACATTACTAGGTACATTATACCTACATACTGTATGTATGTACACTGGCCATCCATGAACAGGGCTGGTACTGGGGAAACATTACTAGGTACATTATACCTACATACTGTATGTATGTACACCGTACATGCAGCGATTGTGCTGTCAGTTGCAGTACATTAACCGTTTTGTGTTTTTTTAATGAAAGTTTACAAGAACAGTACAACTTTTGCTTCGAGCATTGCCACCAACTTACAAATGCATTGGCATGCCAAAGCGAGAAGTACATGTATGTACTGTATCTCGCCTTTATTATTCCCTATCTCGCCCTCTATTTCACTGTCCCTATGCCTTTTATATATTCGTTCCCTATCCCTTTCACACAATGCCTATCTCTCACACACACACACACACACACCACAGAGAAGATGTGACCAACAAACTAAGAGACATGCCCGACGGTTCCTTCCTCATTCGAGACTCGACCCGCGTCCCCGGAGAGTACACACTCACCGTTCGCAGGGCCGGGACGAACAAACTCATCAGGGTCATATTCTCCAACGGGATGTACGGGTTCTCCGACCCCACCAGCTATGGCAGCGTGGTGGAGTTGATTCAGTACTATACCATCAACCCACTCACAAAGTACAATGCAAGATTGGACGTAACTCTCAGCAACCCTGTCTCCAGATTTGACGAGGTGTGCGTGCCTGTGTGTGTGTGCGTGTGCATCGTATCTCTTTGTCTTCCTCCCTGCCCCTCTCCTTCTTCTCCACACCTGCCTCTCTCCTTCTTCTCCACACCTCGATCCCTTCGTGTGTGTGTGTGTGTGTGTGCGTGTGTGTGTGATTTAGTACAGCGCAATCTGTCTATAGTGATCACCTCTTGACAATGAAAAAAAGCTAAGGAGGTGGCCTCTTTAAGGAGTTCAAAATCATGGTTATATTATTATGGTACACGCATTGGACGTGACATGCACATAGTAGACGAGTGGAGAGGTGGTCTTCTTGTTTGGGGGTCACTATAGACAGGTTTTGCCTGTGTTCTGACTTATCCACTCCCTGAAGTACATATCTTTGTAGTAAGCAATGCTATTGAAAAATGTACTACTACAATCACCCCCACGCACATACATATCTATGTACGACCTAATGTATAATTATACTCTAAACCTCTACTTCGTTTAGTGTGCATATTTGTTGCTCCTCGTAGCGTATATCCACTAAACTTCCTTGTGGGCGTAGTGTAGCCTACATATCTTTGTATGGGGTTATAGTCTGCAGTGCAATAGTACAATGTGATGTGTGGCCCTGCAAAATGATACTCATCGAAAGGATTCCTGCATGTAGTGTGAATTCATGTGCAATTGCAGCTGCTGTGATTTGTGCGGAAATGTCGTAGAGTACAAACACGCCACACTTCGCACCCAATCCTCTGGGGGGCGTAAGCATGTATGGGTTCACAGGGGGGGCAAATTCCACCCTTTAAAAGAATTCATGGGTTTGACTGCGTGTGTGTGGGTGTGGCTGACCCCGCCCCCAGGCAAAGCTGGAGTTGGACGAAGACGAGGAGGAGGAGGAAGTGGGACACGCGGAGATGGTGGCCCCGCCCGCCTATCGGGAAGACGATGACCTAATACTGCAGAACCTTCTACAGACCACGGAGCTCTTTGACCAGAAGAACAGCGAGTACATGATCATGGAGCATAAATCTGAGGCCTTCAGAAAGGTTAGAGTTCACTCGACGCTTACCATAATACCTGTAATACTGCGTTTTAGCCAGCGTTTTAGGTGTTATGGACGACTGTATAGCAGAATAGTATTGGGAGAGTCGCTACTAATTCTGTGGTTTTTTTGCCTAGTCTCAAAATTACTGGTAATACAGTGTAGCCGTCTTCTAATACTGTAGTTTGTCAGTTATGTACATGTGCGTGTACATTATGCATGCATGTACAATCACTCCCGGAACCATTCACAGTTACCGTATTGCCTGTGGTGTGTGTGTGTGTGTGTGTGTATGTGTGGTGCCTGGTACACGTGTGTCTGTCCGTATCTGTAGGAAGTGGAGCAGCAGCGTAAGCTGACGAAGGCCAGTGAGCTCGTATTCGAGCTGTTCCGAGAGCAGATTCAGAGAAAGCACGCTCCTGGACTCAGCAAATCCGAAAAGACTGCGTTAGTCCCTACCATCAGTGCACTTTATTATTTCATCTTTTGTTCACTATTATAATGTACTTCCGCTTCGCGTGTGCCTTAATACTTTAGTACAAACTATATACACTACGAGGATGTAATGTACTTCTGCTTCGCGTGTGCCTTAATACTTTAGTACAAACTATATACACTACGAGGATGTAATGTACTTCCGCTTCGCGTGTGCCTTAATACTTTAGTACAAACTATATACACTACGAGGATGTAATGTACTTCCGCTTCGCGTGTGCCTTATACTTTAGTACAAACTATATACACTACGAGGATGTAATGTACTTCCGCTTCGCGTGTGCCTTAATACTTTAGTACAAACTATATACACTACGAGGATGTAATGTACTTCCGCTTCGCGTGTGCCTTAATACTTTAGTACAAACTATATACACTACGAGGATGTAATGTACTTCCGCTTCGCGTGTGCCTTAATACTTTAGTACCAAACTATACACACGAGGATGTAATGTACTTCCGCTTCGCGTGTGCCTTAATACTTTAGTACAAACTATATACACTACGAGGATGTAATGTACTTCCGCTTCGCGTGTGCCTTAATACTTTAGTACAAACTATATACACTACGAGGGATGTAATGTACTTCCGCTTCGCGTGTGCCTTAATACTTAGTACAAACTATATACACTACGAGGATGTAATGTACTTCCGCTTCGCGTGTGCCTTAATACTTTAGTACAAACTATATACACTACGAGGATGTAATGTACTTCCGCTTCGCGTGTGCCTTTTCTTGTCTGTCCCTCTTTTCTCTTTGGCCTCCGTCCTCCGCGTTGTTTGGTTCATTGGCCGTACATACACCACTGCAGCTAAACACGTAAAAAGTCTTCTTACTTGTGTGAAATGTTTCCCCACAAAAAAGCAAAACATAACATGACCATCTCTTTTTAAGTTTGCACATACATACGTACGTACAGCGCAACATGCTTTGGGAAAGGAAATCGGGGGATGGGCTTTTTAAACCATACGTATGTACATCAATCCTCTGCTTGTATATACAAACTCTCTCCATTTCAGTCTGATGAACAACGGAAGGAAGGTCGGGAAGAAGCTGCAAGACGCTAAGAAGACCACGGAGCAAGAGAGGCGACAGGAGAAGGAGCAGAACATTATGTTCCGGACGCTCGACAAGGACCTCAACACCATTCGACCTGATCTCATGAAACTACAGGGGAGGAAGGATGCCCTTCACAAGTGGGTACCCTCTCCCATCAGTGTGCTATACACTGGAAACCCTCTCTAAAGACACCCCTGAAATAAGTACACCTCGTTAAAGGGAATGTGGTTGTATATATGTATGGTGCCAGGGAGTTGAAGGACAACTGCATACAAGTTTGCTAACTATATAGTAATATTATGACGTTGCATCGTATCTCTTTGTCTTCCTGCCTCTCTCCTTCTTCTCCACACCTGCCTCTCTCCTTCTTCTCCACACCTCCCTTCGTGTGTGTGTGTGTGTGTGTGTGTGTGTGGAGCAGTCAATTACTACAGCTGGGCTGGAGTCCACAGAGAATCTCAGAGCAAGTGAAACAGGCTGCCGTTAACGAGAATGAGAACATCTATGGCACTATCTATGCCGGTCTAGGAGATGGGTAAGTAACTAGACGAATGGTAAGCATTTTTGGGAGAAATTTGGGCGAGATAGGGATATGTGCAGCGAGATAGCAGATGTTACCATTCCATACTCCAACTGTAGTCAAAGTATTAAGGATAGTTGGTTTGTCTCTTTTCCCACTCTTGTGCCTACAACAAATGCAAAATCGTTGACACCCTTATTTAGGGGGACAGCGAAAATATTTATACACAACTGTAGTTCATTGATGTAATAGACAAAAGAAATGTGGGGTTGTATCATCCTGTCCAAGTGGCTAGAGGAGAGCCAAGGCTTCCTAGAATCACATTGTCTGCATAATGAGGCGCCCAATACTTTAGACTTCAACATAATTATTATTGTTGCTCACTGACACATACAATTTCCGTGGAGGCTTGCAAGACAAGGCTGAAATTTAATGCTAGTTGTACCGATTTTTCTTCTCCTCCCTCCCTAGTGGAGACGACCCAGATGAAGAGGAGCTGGCCTCTCCTCCCAGCAACCACACCCCCATTGCCGTCAACAACCCCTACGTCATTGAGCCAGGGATATCTCCTCTTCCTCCGCCTCCACGAGCGAACCCGGGCAGCTCGGGACTGAGCACCCCCAGCCAGCCCATCTCCCCACGGCCATTGCCTGATTCCCCGGCCAGCCTGAACTCTCCCATGACCAACAGTTTCCCTCGTCCCCTCCCCAAGCCACCCACACCTTCTCTGGTCACGCCCACTAGGAAACTACCCGATAGACCAAAGTGAGTGGTGTCACCCTCAACCAGACCTCTTATTTTGTTAGGAGCATAATATTGCATAACAGAAAGAACTGCTATATAGCACAATGCTACACAGTTAGCTTTTGAGATGAGTGGAAATAGTAAAATTGTAGGAGAAAAATGCCATGGTTCGGTAGCAAAATTGGAATATCATGAATAAAGGTTTCACATAATATTGCTGAATTAACCTGCTTACAAAGTAAGAGATAACAAGAGATAACTGCTCACAAAAAACAAGATCTCTATTAAACCTCAAAACTATAATTATTATTATCTCACCCTCAAACTTGTCCGCTATTCAGTAGACAAACACACCTCGGTCGATACTACAGCTGTCACTAGATGTTTCATAGTACACATGTGTGGGTGTATGTGTACCTATGATTTCCCTGATGGTCTCCCTGCAGGTCGTGGGTAGAGAGTCCGTCTCACAGTCTCCCCCCTCTCCCCCCTCTCCCACCTCTCCCACCTCCTGCCAGCAGAGAAAAGTCGCGACTGAAGAGCACCTCGGAGATTCTGCTACCGTCCAGACAGCAGGACTCAAAGGCAAGGCAAACGAGTCAACTACACCCAGGACAGCTCTTAATTTCTTTTCAAAGAATTTGAAGAAGAGCTGCCCTGGGTGGGATTCAAACCCACGACACTCTGCAGTCTAGGCGAGTGCTCTAGCAACTGAGCTACCAGGGCAACTCAGCTGGTAGGGGTTCGAATCTACAACACAACACAACACAAAGGCACACCTCAAACCACTGTGCTATACTACATATAATACACTGTTGTTGCTGTATATGAAGTGGGGAGATGCAACTATGGGTGGTCTCTTTTAAACCTTTAAAAATATCCCTAGCCCTCACATTTTTCCACTCTCCAGTAAACAGACACATTTCTGTCAATACTACAGCTGTCAGTAGATGTTTCATAGTACAAGTGGGTGTATGTTATGTACGATTCCAAGGAGCCCGCTGGAAAGATATACTACCTACGTACTACCACATTATAAGTGAAGAACTAACTATACCCAAGACGGCAATAAGAATGTGTGTCAATTTGAGCCCACAACACTCTGCTATGCAGAGCACGGCACGAGTCACATGACGAGTCACATGACAGAACACGGACAAACCCTGTATGTGTGGTGACACACGTACAAAGCAGTCACAAACTAGCTTCATTGTATGTACATTGGATACTGGGCCTGTTCTGAGTTTCTGGGGTTCTTGTACCTACATGAAGCCGACCCACTTTCTCGAATGTCTTGCTGTAGGTATTCCTCCCACTCAACTACACTGCATCCACACACGGCCACTTATAGCTAGACCCATTGTGGGCAAACACACACACACACACACACACTGCGGTCATATTATAACGCATGTACAGTTATGCATGCGTGCTATGTATATACATAAGTACCATCTGAGCTCCTCCCCGTCATTGTCATTCCACAGGTAAAGCCACACGAGAGAATGGAAGCCTGGTTCAAGGAAGTGGACAGGTGAGTGGGCTACAGTGTGTGGTGTTGGTCTAGCCACCCTGACTACCATATATACTCCCACACTCCATAATTGTCTGTTGGAATCCCCTGTTGAGTAAAAAAATTAGTAACCACTCTCTGATCTTACATAACTACAGTATACGTAGGCCTCTAACACTGGCTATGTACGGTGTCTTTGCTGTGTGAACATGTGCTGTAGTTTACTATGCCCGCCAGATTTCCTCCATATGTTCAATCTGGGAACGTATGCTATAGTGGAACCTTTTCAAGCGATCACAGATTTTGCAGTTTTACAAATGGTTTCTGCATTAATTTTGTGGCCCCTCGAAAGTTTCCGACGTACAGTATGCAGAGTGATTTCAGCATGTCTTTTGACAAGTACATGCATGAACGGTTTCCAATGATAACTTGGGTGGGCAGGCTTTATATGCACACTGTTAAAGGAATAAAGTTTTTCAGCAAATCTACTTCCTTTGTTTCCCTAGCTACACAAAATGTTAATACTTGCAAAGTGCGATGCACCTCCTTTAGGTGTACCCCTCATTGCGCAATGTCCCTGTAATAACGACGAGCTAAGAGCGGTCTGTTGATGTGTGCTGCAGGAACCAGGCAACAGAGATGCTAAAGGAGTCGAAGAACGGAACTTTTCTCTGCAGGCCGTCCACGAAGCAGGCGAAACTGGGCCACGGAGAGATCCATACACACACCATTGACGTTGTGTGAGTTGCCACATTCGGCTCTACATAGGTACCACATTGGCTCTCGATAGCTACCACATTGGCTCTACATAGCTACCACATTGGCTCTCGATAGCTACTCTACGTAGGTACCACATTGGCTCTAGATAGCTATATACACTTTGGCCATTGACAGCTACCACCTAGTCACATTGGTCTTTTCCCCTCCTGACTCCTGACGCTATGAAAAGCAAAACCAGACACATTTGGCCTCCTGAAGTGCAATGTTTGTGTGGATGGAACAGAGGTGTAGAGGTGTATATTATAGGAAATAGGACACCTCACTGATCAATCGTCCCATTCCACCAGATATTAGAGGGCCTCCAATGTATGGAGAACCTAGGGGATAATTCTGGGGCGTAGGTAGAGATGTTCGTAGTAAGAATCGCAGCTTCCTGTTTGTAGTGGCTGGTGTCTGCACAGCAGAAAAATGTCCTTTGAAGGCCAATAGATTATGCACTGTCACCACTCAGTCACTACTGGTGGTTTTCCTGTAAGGTGTCTTGGGAGATAATCCCTGCTATATGCGTCCAGGAACATCATGTAAACTGAAGGAAGTTAGGCTATTATATGTTCGTATCATACCAAAAGTCTATGGCCAGCTCTCGTGTTCTGCATTTTTGCTCCTAGAGTTCTGAACTCAAAGCTTAGTCCACTGTATACCGTACTGCAAAGATATACATTCGAACAACCCCCAACTTACTTCTCTTATAGCTCAGTGCACTGGACTTCCACTAAGTTCGACTCCTGTCAGAAGTTGGCTCTTTCTCTTTCCCTCCCGGCCTGTGTATATACACATCTATTATCCCTGGGTTACTTCTTATTGCTGTTTGTCTGCAGGTACAATGGTTTCAAGCACATAAAGGTGTTTCAGCACAACGGAAAGTACGGGCTTCTCGGTCCCGTGCAGCCACAAGAGCCTAATGGAGCTGGTGCTGCACTTTTCCGAGCACTCACTGGTCCAGCACAACCCCGGGCTTCACACTACCCTCCAATTCCTGTCGACGACAAGAACTAGACGATCTCGCGGGGACAAGACAATGATTAATTTTTAGTTGCCATTTCTTTTCGCTCTCTCTTTCTCTTTCAATTTTTGTGGGTCTGGCGACCTTTTTCTCTTTGATTCTCATCTCACTTGCAGTGCTGGCATCTAGTGTGATTTTGATGATTTCACTGTAAAGAAGGCACATGATGGTTTTACTTTGTGTAATGTAGTTTTGTATAGCTTTTTAGGTTTTCTTTATTTGAGCAATTTCAGAGCAAAGCCATGCCAACCAGTGTGATGTTGTGGTTTCAACCCACGTAGTGTGTCCTCGTTCAATTGAGGGGAAACCATAAACATCCGCCGCTGCCCGCAGCTGCTTCTTCCGCTGCAGACTTGAATAGTGGCACATGACCATCCGCCCAGTGTGGCTATAGGTTGCGGACGGCGCGAATTGCGTTCAGTCGGTCACTTATCATCATCTGGACAATAATGATGGGGCCGGGGCTGCAGTCTTCCCTAACGAGAGCCGTGCTCGCAATGATCTTCGCTTCGGCGGCGATGCTGCAGTGCAGCCAAAGCACTAATGCTCTGGTCATGCCTCGCCTGCCCGTTGCGGCGGAACGCTACTACCAGGAAGAGGGGGAGGGCCCCGAAGATTACGACTCCAGTTACGAAGACGACTTGAAGAGAGCAATAGAAAAGGCCACGGTAAGAAGCAACCTCGCCGCAGTAGTAGTTAGCTAGCTATTATGATGATGCGCACTGAGTCACATAAACTTGGAACATTATGTATATGCAATCTGGTTGACCCAGGGACCACAGACGGTGCTATTACTGAGCTCCCTGTCTGGCAGAATGGTATCTGCACATGGAGATGGTCTAAGAAGTGACGGAACAACGCAAGGTTAGTTGCTTCATCAGTTGCTAGGAGTGCCTGCAAAAATGATAGCTTGAATTTGAACAGGAAATAGCTAACTACGTCTCTCCTTGCAGATCCTGCAACTCGGTTTGTGCGAACAGCGGTGTCTTATAACACAGTCACACTCTCAACACAAACCTCTGGTGGCAAACACATACTGGGCATTGACAGCAGTGGCCACATCGCACTGGTAAGAAAAACGGAAACATCTGCACTGAGTTGGGGTTCGAACCCAAAACCCTTTCACTTCTTCCATACATCAGCTTGGCCTTGTTGATGACTTATTGGTAGCTATATAATCTGTTCCCATGCCAATATATTTCATCTCTGATTTGCAGGATGCAGCGAATTCCTCAGATATAGCCCACGTGTTTGAGCTGGTAAGCATGGACCAATTCGATGAAGACATGCTGGGGCCAGTTCAGCTACGAGCCAAGGTCGGTAGCAACTACTGCTACCTTGCCTTTGATGCCAGCAACCTTCCACTGCACAAGACTTGCACTCCAGAGCTAATGGCCAAAGTATCTAAGACTGAAACCTTTTTCTCACTTGTACCCATGTAATAAAAACGTCCAGATTTCTTTTTTTTAGTAATTTTAACAGACATGTATACAATCATCATTATTCTCACATATTTATTTTGACCTGTTATGACTTTCCTATTGAAAAAGGTGAATGTTATACAACTTCATGTTATAAAACTTTCAAAGACATGACATCGTCAAATATGCTGCAATTATGAAACAAAAGAGCCTCTCATATAATGTAGAATACAAAATGGTGGGTTTTAAGTCTTATAAAAGCTTTAATTTCCCGGTAATGTCATTGACATCTGCCACCTTACCAAACACAGCAAAGACAGTCAGTGAGCCTGGCTCAACCTGGGTTCTGCCTGCATCGTGGACAATAATACTCGGCAACCGGAGTTCGTAAGCTCTGTGTTTTAGCTCCAGCAAGTGGTGAGTGCTCTGTCCCTGCACCGCTATCTTTGTCACGGTCGTCTCCTCCCATTTGGTGCACTGTTCTTTCCAATTGGACTGGGTTTGAAGCAGGCGATATAGAGCAAGGGTTGCATGCCCCACTTGTGCCGCTATCTTGCCTACACCCATCTTTAGTTCAGTGTTGACTACAAAGACCATTTTGTACAGCTCTGAGGGAGCACCCACTAGTGCGTCGTCAAATGAGTGATACACGGGCCCACCCTGCTGAAGAAGAGCAGTTGTACCAGCGGGAGAAGTAATGGGGCCCGGATTAAAGGGGCTGTGGAGTTCGGGGTTGTCAATGTTTTCAAAGACCCAGGCAGTGGCCAATTCGCCGTTGTCGTTGCCCGTGTGGTACAAAGCCCTCCGAGCTGCATTCTCGCTAATCCCCATGCCCATGACGAGATCAAGACACTCTTTATTCGGTCGCCATTCCGTGTCTAGCATGACCACTGGAGGTAGCTCAGTACTGGCAGTCCGCTGGGCTTGCTGTGGTTCATCACGGGAGAGGATGACCCTGGCAATTTCACTCGCCTCGCTGGCTATCCGCAACGAGTTATTCTTGGCAGCAGGGTTGGTGGTGTGCATAGCAAGCTTGGCAGCTTGGAGTGCCATTGGGATGTTTTGACTAGGGGGCTGGGCTGGAGAGATACTAGAAGCAGTTGCTGTGCTTGTCTGTGGTGTAGGAACTGCCTCCTCTGTAACTGGTTCCTGCAGAGACATTGCAATGGCCTGGGCCAGCATCTCCTCTTCCGTGAGTTCAGCCATCTTGTCTCTCTACATAGCGTGGGTGTACCGATTTCCCTATAGTTAGGAGAGGGTTAGAGATGAGATTGCGGCAAGCCGCAGATCGAGCAGACTAGCCCATTACCTGCTGTCCTGTAACTCGATCGACACCCACTGGATCGGACGAAGACCTTCAGCAGCGCACACACACACAGTGCAAAATTTCAATGTTCCAGCTTACGTTGAATTAGAGAAGACAGCGCCAGCTGGAGATCATACGGTAGACTCCGCCCACCACCCTCGGTTCTGTGTGTGTGCCTTAGAATTCACCCTCTCTCCCTCTTCAGAGCGCCTTTTTCCGATGTCTGCAGTGCCAGTTCTGGGGTCGGTGGGGAACCCGGGCCCCCAAAACCCGGAGAGCAAGGCCAAGACGAACCTCATTGTCAACTACCTCCCTCACTCCATGAGTGAAGAAGACGTCAAGAATCTCTTCTCGACCGTGGGTCGCGTCCAGAGCTGCAAACTCATCAAGGACAAGCTCTCGCAGACGAGCCTCGGCTACGCCTTCGTCAATTACTTCACGGTCGAAGAAGCCGAGAAAGCGATACAGAACTTGAACGGTCTGTCGCTAGAGAACAAGACGGTCAAAGTGAGCTACGCCCGCCCCTCGTCCGCGTCAATCAAGAACGCGAACCTCTACGTCGCCCACCTGCCCGCCAACTACTCTACGCACGAACTCGATGCGTTGTTCCGTCCGTACGGAGTCATCATTACGTCTCGGGTTCTGGTCGACACGACTACGGGAGTAAGCCGCGGCGTGGGGTTCGTACGTTACGACAAAAACACGGAGGCGGAGACGGCCATAAGCGCTCTTAACGGGAAAATCCTCCCGGGAGCCCCCCAGCCGCTACTGGTAAAGTATGCTAACCAGCCGAAGTTGAGTCAGGGCGGCACAGCGAGCAGCAATGCAGTGGCATCATTTGCAGCTATGGCAGGTGCCGGAGGTTCCCTCAGACGTATTGGTGGAGGAGGAGGAGGTGCAGGGGGGAGTGGCTTTCTGGGAACCGGTGGTCCTATTCGCCACGCGGTAGCCAACGTCCGATACAACCCCGTCTCAACTCTAATGGCTGCCACTGCAGCCAGCCAAGCAATATCGTCACAGCTACCGCTGGCAACGGCTTCACTGGGAGTCGTGGCTCCACCCACTAATCAACAGACCTGGTGTATATTTGTCTACAACCTCCCAGAATCGACGGAGGACAGCCTCCTCTATCAGCTGTTCTCGCCCTTCGGTGCCATATCCAGTGTGAAAATCGCACGAGAGGCCGACACCAACAAGTGCAAGCGCTACGGCTTTGTCAACATGATAAACTACGAGGAGGCTTACAACGCCATTGTGCATCTCAACGGTCACGTGTGCGAGGGTAAGCCTCTCCAGGTTTCTTTTAAGTCACCTAAGAATAATGCCTGACCTTATAAAAAACACTCTGTGTGCCTGTATTATACGTGTGTCCTCTAAACAATAGTGCACGTGAAGTGGATGTATAAGTGCCTACTGTTACAATATGGATAATAACTGGCCATGTGTATTATGTATGTCCTCTCTCTGTGTCATATTGTCTCTTCTATATATATACATGTCTGATAATGCTGTGTGTTGCATATTATACATTAATTGCTGTATTATATTACATTTATCTTTTCTCAAAGTTATGACACTTTTTACTTATATGCGGACTAAGTTTAAGTTTTCTTCGGGCCACGATTGTTTTTCTTTCGTCTTATCTTCATCATCTCATTTTATTTGAGTGACATTTCAACTTATGTCAGGTATATACAGTGTTATTGTCGTAAGATAAATTTTTGTTTGTTCGTTTTATTTTTACGAAACAGCAGTGTTTAGTTTAGTTGCCTATATTATTTTTTGATTGATTTTTCAGTCGCCTAAAATTCAGGTTTTACCCACACTTTTATATGATTTTTTCACTTGCCTATAAAATTGAGAGTTGCACGCACATCTGTACATATAATATACTGTAATATGTAGTATGTTTGTGTGTAAGCATGCCTGCTTTAAAAACGTTTTGAGTTTACTGTTGTATCACCTATTCCCTACAGTTCACTCTGAGAAAGAAGTGATTGCACAATGGAGATGATCATGATTCAGACAACAAGGGCAAGTTATTATTAAATGGCCCCTGGGGATATTACTGTTCAAATGAGCGTCAGGTGAAGTACTGCTGAATGGATTCTCCAACATGGGTCTCTATTGTGGAGATGAGTGAGCGAGTTTCCTGCTCCACCTCTTCACTCTCATCTGCAGACAATATAATAGACAAACTGTTATATAATTATAGACAATGTTGTGTACAATTGACAATGCTTGGTTGCAGAGTTGAAGTGCACTACCTTAGAACAAGTTTTAAATGTGAGCACGCCAGGTTTTGAGTGCACAAATCAGCAAATAAAAAAAAAATTATAAGTTTCAAAGTGTTGTGAAGCACAGTGGCAAATAAAACTCTCTTCGTGGCTTCATGTTCATGCTTGCTGCATTAGAAACGATATACATACGTAGTTGTGGCTTCAAATATTGCCCTTACGTGTGTTGTTGTTAGTAGCTACATTACCTTCAAGTAATTCGGCCAGGAAGGGAATGGTCTCAGGTAATAGGGTCATGAACTCGTTGCCCAGTCTGCTGTAGACCTCCTTCAGCACCACCACCACTGCATAGCGAACCTTGGGCAGAGACACGTAATTATCATTATAGCGGGGAGACAGAGAACATTTTGTGTGTTTCGTGGTGCCACCATTTTATACAGCAGGACAACCAGCACTCCATGATTCGCTGTAAAAATCCATACTGCTATATATATACAGACTAAAACATGCAAGGTTTAGGAAAAAATTGTGGTTAATCTCAACATTTGAGATGCAACTGAAGTTCTTTGTTTCCACAACGTAATATTAGCGAGTGTCACCTCTGCTTTCTTGTGCCTGGTCTTGAGGAGTAGTTGATAGTTGAGTGCTTTCCAGAGATCCTCGCGACCGGCGGCCACGGCCAACTGGGCCACACAGGGACACAGCAGTTTCTCCACACGTCTCTGGAACACTGGCCCTCCTCCCACCTGATTACTGATCTACAGGACGAGATATAAGACTGTACTATTGCACACTTTGTATGACTATTGATGATGATCTCCTCCCACCTGATTATTGATCTACAGGACTGTATTATTGCCACTTTGTATGACTATTGATGATGATCTCCTCCCACCTGATTACACAAAACAACTGATGGTGTTACACAACCATTTGAGGCGTTCATAACAACTTGGAATGACTTTACGTAACTAAGAAGTTGCAATATCGTTGTTCTACCAGCTACTTATAACGCAGCAACTAACGATGTTATGTTTGTATAGCCAATGGTTTGGCTCACAAAAAATAGGGGAAGGTAGCAGAAAAAGGAAACTTAATTGCATTCTTTCACATGGGCTATTGCTATCATTAGTAACATTTCTAAACTTAGTCCTTACGCACTGCCACATTCATACCTGGTGAACGAGTGGAGTCAGGAGAGTGTCAAATCTCTCTTTGGTGATGAAGAGGAGGAGGAGGAGGATGGGCTGGCTGGACAGTGGAGGAAGATCTTGTGCAGACAGCTGAGGAGGTGAGTGAGGAGTACGTTTGTCTTGTCTGCCACAAGTGGGTCGTCCTGAAACACTGGACTCTCTGTGGTCGAGGGTAGCGGGAGAAGAGAAGATCTGGAAAAAACTCATTTCTAGTACTGAGTACGTGTTATACCAAATTCCCCACGTCTGAGGTGTGAGGGGAATGTAAATGATAGGGATAAGGTCTGCGAGTGAGAGAGTCGAAATAGAGATAGGGACAGCGAGATCAGGGTGAAATGGGACAGTATTGTGAGATATGGACGGGGATAGCAAGGTAGTGAAAGAGGGAGAGAGAGATAAGTAACTGAACCAACTGAGTTAGAGAACCGCCCACTGAGTGTGCGAGAGTGTTACGATACCGTGGCGGTCTATGTTAGTTCTCTCCAGTAGAGAGGCTGCATTCTTCACAATGTGGCCGGCAAACAGCAGAAACAATCCCTTTAGTTTCCCTGCCACTCTGCATGAAAAACACATTTATACAGACAGCAAGAGACAGTTAGACAGCCAGTTGGATACACCTACACAGTTTAGAAACCAGTGTAATACCACGTTGCAGTTTTCCGACAGTTTTAGACTTATATATAGACCACCCTGTGCTCATAGCTGTGCACATTCACAACATTAAAAGTAAAACAGATGCCACAGACTCGTGTAATGTACAATATCCATTAGCTAACCCATCTGCCAGGTGGTAGAATGCTACGAGTCTCTCCTCGTCGGCTCCTCTGTTTGTAGCCCAGTCCAAGAACTGCATAATGTATGTGAAAACTACGTATGAGGTATATACATAGAAAGGCAAAGGCACAACAAACAAATCAACTACACCCAGGACAGCTCTTTTGTTTTGTTTTTTTTGTATTTTTTTGTACGGCATACAGCAGGGCATAAACTTTTGCAAGGTTTTTTTTAGAAATAGACAACACAGTGAGAGCAGACGTGTTCATTTACAATAGGTTTTGCGGATTGACAAAATTTGTATCATACACATCCTGAAAGGCATGGCATGAAGAGGGAAAGCTTAGAGATGAATACTGTACTAGTAAGCTATCTAATGCTGTGGTACGTACACACATGGTCTACATACTACCTTGAGGAACATGGGTCTGAAGACAGACTCTATCTAATGCTGTGGTACGTACACATGGTCTACATACTACCTTGAGGAACATGGGTCTGAAGACAGACTCTATCTAATGCTGTGGTACGTACACATGGTCTACATACTACCTTGAGGAACATGGGTCTGAAGACAGACTCTATCTAATGCTGTGGTACGTACAACATGGTCTACATCTACTGAGGAACATGGGTCTGAAGACAGACTCTATCTAATGCTGTGGGTACGTACACATGGTCTACTACTACCTTGAGGAACATGGGTCTGAAGACAGACTCTATCTAATGCTGTGGTACGTACACATGGTCTACATACCTTGAGGAACATGGTCTGAAGACAGACTCTATCTAATGCTGTGGTACGTACACATGGTCTACATACTACCTTGAGGAACATGGTCTGAAGACAACCTATCATGCTGTGGTACGTACACATGGTCTACTACTACCTTGAGGAACATGGGTCTGAAGACAGACTCTATCTAATGCTGTGGTACGTACACATGGTCTACATACTACCTTGAGGAACATGGGTCTGAAGACAGACTCTATCTAATGCTGTGGTACGTACACATGGTCTACATACTACCTTGAGGAACATGGGTCTGAAGACAGACTCTATCTAATGCTGTGGTACGTACACATGGTCTACCTTGAGGAACATGGGTCTGAAGACAGACTCTATCTAATGCTGTGGTACGTACACATGGTCTACCTTGAGGAACATGGGTCTGAAGACAGACTCTATCTAATGCTGTGGTACGTACACATGGTCTACTACCTTGAGGAACATGGGTCTGAAGACAGACTCTATCTAATGCTGTGGTACGTACACATGGTCTACCTTGAGGAACATGGGTCTGAAGACAGACTCTATCTAATGCTGTGGTACGTACACATGGTCTACCTTGAGGAACATGGGTCTGAAGACAGACTCTATCTAATGCTGTGGTACGTACACATGGTCTACATACTACCTTGAGGAACATGGGTCTGAAGACAGACTCTATCTAATGCTGTGGTACGTACACAGCTACCTGAGGAACATGGGTCTACTAATGCTTGGACTACACATGTCTACTTGAGGAACATGGGTCTGAAGACAGACTCTATCTAATGCTGTGGTACGTACACATGGTCTACCTTGAGGAACATGGGTCTGAAGACAGACTCTATCTAATGCTGTGGTACGTACACATGGTCTACCTTGAGGAACATGGGTCTAGACAGACTATCAATGCTGTGGTACGTACACATGGTCTACCTTGAGGAACATGGGTCTGAGACAGCTCTATCTAATGCTGTGGACGTACACATGGTCTACAATACCTAGGACTGGCAGACTATCTGTGGTACGTACACATGGTCTACCTTGAGGAACATGGGTCTGAAGACAGACTCTATCTAATGCTGTGGTACGTACACACATGGTCTACCTTGAGGAACATGGGTCTGAAGACTAATGCTGCAGTACGTACACATGGTCTACCTTGAGGAACATGGGTCTGAAGACTAATGCTGTGGTACGTACACACATGGTCTACCTTGAGGAACATGGGTCTGAAGACTAATGCTGTGGTACGTACACATGGTCTACCTTGAGGAACATGGGTCTGAAGACAGACTCTATCTAATGCTGTGGTACGTACACACATGGTCTACATACTACCTTGAGGAACATGGGTCTGAAACAGCCGTGGGAGTACACATGGTCTACCTTGAGGAACATGGGTCTGAAGACAGACTCTGAGAGGTGGACCACCAGCCGTGTGAAGGCCTCTACACATTTCCCCTCGACTTCATCCAAATCTTCCATTGACACCTCAGACTGTGAGGAGAGAGAATGAGGGCTATCTGAGGGAGAGGGTGGCCTTCAGATCAGGGTTTGAGAGGTGTCAACGAACCTTCGGTGAAATTTTAGTGGTAGTTATGTACACATGCGTGTTAGGTAGAGCAAACGCAAACTCCACAATCACACCCTTTTCCAAGGAATAAAGGACTGCTCTAGGTGGGATTCGAACCATCATGCATTGGGGATTGACAATCAGTCTGCAAGTTCTGAATCTATCATTCATCGCAGGGCATGGTGCAGATACGGTCATCTGCCGGACTGCGGTCATGAGAAAGTCTACTTGTCGTATTAAAATACCAGCTGTTTTTGCTGTGCTCGGTGGTTGAGACAGAGCATAAAGAGGTCTCCCAGGAGGGAGGAGAGACTGCGGGCATCTTCCTGGGCCAGTGAGGACACAGTTAGCTTCACCATCTCCAGTAGAGCTAGCAGAGGTCCCTGTGGTGTGCGTGTGCGTGCGTGCGTGTGTGTGTGGTAAGGTTACGACAGTTTCACATTCTGTTTGTGTCATTGTAGAGTAGAGACTGAACGAAGAAAAGTTTTTCTATGGTGCACCCTACCTTTCCAAGAGGGCAAACGAGGTGATACACTTTAGCATACACTGGCACAAGCGTCCGGGCTGGCACCAAATTCGCAACTCTCTCCCTAGAATAATTACGACACGTTATGATATGGACACGTCTGTTTACCTATGTGTATGAGCTCAGAACAAAATTTCGAGAGAGAGACAAGTCATCCTCAAACATTATTGTCTTGTTTGGAACCGAACACAAACGTTTTTGCTCGTCAAAAAAGTTCAAAGATGGCATATAAAAAAGAGGGCACAATCATGAGCAGTTCCAAAAATTACCACACTTTGAATTTGGCCGAGTGTTGACCTTGTATAGTAAGTACCTTGTTAGAGCGGCCTCTTTAGCCAGCTGAGCTCTCTCCTTTCCTTCCCCTCCTCTCTCACTCCTTTCCAACCAGCACAGCTGTGAAAATAAAATACTCAAACACCTTTAGCTACAAGTGGTGTAGAGCAATTGTGCTTTCCTCCAATTTCACGTAAACTTTGATTTTTATGAACATAGAAAGCACCGCTACACCTTCATGCTAATGTGCTCATTCAAAACAGTCAAAAAGAGGTGCAACTCCCAATTTCTTTCCAATTTTGCACATTAATTAACCCCTTGCCTTCTGAACAATGGTAGCAGCGAAGGAACTGAGAAACTTCGGCAGTGTTTGAACTATGACCCCTAGGGTTGCCACGGCAGCAGTCTGCACCATGACACCAACGCCCTCTGTCAGTCTGTTCATCACCGGGGGTAACGAGGGGGGCAAGTATGGGATGAGGTGGGGACCAAGGGACGAGGATAACTCGGCAACTGCCAACAGGCAGCTGCCGGTAAATTCAGAGGAGAGACCGTCAGAATTGGAGAGGAGGGAGAGCATTTCTTGCAGCGCCTGGGAAGAAAGAGAGGGGGAGGGGGAGATAGTTCAAAGGTTCAAATCATTTCCGGGTCTTCCATTTTGGAGATGTGAGTGTGGTGGGGACCTGTGTGAGATGTGAGTGGTGATTGTTGTGAGCGAGTCTCCTTGCCAACAGCTTCACGCAGTAGACAGCAGAGTGCCGAGTCAGCAAGTGGGAGGAGTCACTCTTGGCCACACCCACCACTGCACCCAGCAATTGCACCAGACACTCATCCTACGACACAACAGTTCACCAATATCATTGACTTCAGTACAGCAGCTTGTCTGTTGAAAAGCTCAATGCTACTGTAGCATCCGTACACTATATGCAGACTGTTTACTTAATCATGACTCATTACGTAACCTTGTGATTCGTATAAAAAGTGTGCGCACGTGGAAAGAGATCAGATTTTCAGTCAGATTCAAAGAAAGAGATGAACATTGCCACGCGCAAGGCTAGTGGCGCCAAACTACCAAAGTCAATGCACCTGGTCTGAAGCAAAATACGACTTTCCCTCTTCAAGTTTCCTTGCGACGATCTTGAGAGCCTTAGTCTTCACTTCATCTCCGGCCACACCCAGGAGATGCATCACCACGGCAACCAGTGACCCGGGGGTTAGAAGGGCAGTCACGTGACCAACGACGTCGCCGATCTTGTTAACGAGAGAGAGGTGGAGTTTCATGGACGAGTTCTTGGACTGGGGACTTGGCTTGTGATGAGCGACCACCGTCTCGTAGTCAAGGGAACCTTGGAGTATACTAGTGGAGAAGGGGAGGGATCTAAATTAGTACGGATGATTAGTGTGCATGTGGGGGGAAGGGCAGTGCATCCTAAAATATCTGAGAGTGCAGTGCAATCACATTATGGTGGAAGTTTGAGGTTATTTTCTTTCGTACTTTTAGTGAGCACGTCATGGGAGGCCTATGCACCAGGTTGCATTAGACAAGTTGTGCCATATGATGGCTTGCAGGTATAGTATAATATTGCAGGTATACATACATATGTACATAATACCTGTGTATGCTTGTTGCCACTGCTTCCATGGAGTCTTCAGCAACACACGTAACCTGAAGAGACAACCGTACAAGAGTTTCAACTTCTCTCTCACTCTCCTCAGAAAGCAGAAATAAAGCCGAGCGAGACAGGGTCTGGGCACAAGACTAAGAGCCCAATAGCCTCACCTGCTCCGACAGTCTTCTGTGAGAGAGGACGGAGGACATGAGGGAGAAGGAGGAGCACTTGAACTGCTGCAGCTGTTTCTGGGAGTGAGTCGCCACGTTGAAGATCCTGTTGACATCGGCTGACAGCTGTCTCGCGGCACTGATAGCTGGACGTAAAACATCAGTACACACACTCACACTTGAAAAAGTGTTCCCTTTCGTAAAATACCTCATGTTTAGTACGTTCCTGCGGCACTGTTTCCTTGCGCATTGTTTCCTCATGAAACCCGCACACGCGTGGAGTACGCAATTTGGCAACGAGGTAGAAAGGCAAGGCAAGGCAAACAAGGCAACTACACCCAGCACAGCTCTGAAAAGAAGAAGAGCTGCCCTGGGTGGGATTCGAACCCACGACACTGCCGTCTAGGCGAACGCTCTACCAACTGAGCTACCATGCATCACCCACATTTTGCTCGGAACGCCAAACGCAATCAGGCTTCTAATAAGCGTAGATAACTCGTTGTCTGACTATTGTTGATGACTTTCTCTCCAAAAAGTTATCTGCCACCCACCCACTTACAATGAGCTTTCACCACCGGTAGAGAGGTGGTGTAGGAGAGTAGTCGGTCCACCGCCGCCAACTGAAGCTCACCACAAAACAACTGAGCCACCGACACTGCGAAACTCCCAGACAGCACCGCTTCTTTCGGAGTCTGCAGTTACAATGGGACAAAGGCCTGTTAAATATGTAGCTGCAACATTGATGTTGCAGGCTGTCAAATTGCATTGCTTTCTGGGCTCAAGTGCACATAGAGAGAAGGATTACCTGCCTTCATGGGCCCCCTGTCAGCAAAATAGGGGGGAAAAGCTTTGCACAATGTCCACCAATGCATAAAAAAGTGCATGAAAAAAAAAGAGTACAAAACTATAAGTCTTTGGCGGTCTCACTGCATAAATTAATTAACCCCTTGAGAGCCATGCCCACCTGCTCTTTAACCCTCAACTGCTCCACATGTTTAGTGAGGAGGAGTCCGAGGGCCACGGACAAGAATTGGGCGGGGCCAACTCTCAGGAGGAGGTGAGAGAGAAGCGGCAGTCGCCGGTGATCCGGGACGTGGGGAATGGCATCCACAAACACTCGGACGATCTCCGTGACGACCTCCTCGGTGCTGGTGGGTGGGGTTTGGGGGCGGGGCTTGTGATGTGAGGTGGAGCGAGGGGTGGTGGTACGAGGAGTGCTGGCGAGAGAAGAGAGGACTGAAGACCATGACTGGAGAGGAGAGAGGCAGGACAGCATGTAGGCAACAGTGGTACTGTTTACTATGGAAGGAGAGCGTGCGAGCATATACCGACACCTCACCTGGATGAGGACAGGGATGACGGAGTCGAGGGTCTGTGTGATGACCTGGAAACTGTACCGGTCGTCACTTCGCAGGAGACTGGATCCCATGAACGTGAACACTGGCATTATGTTGTGCAGCACTCGGCTCTTGAGGCAGGCAAGGGGGGGAAGGGGGGAGAGAGAGAGAGAGACAAGAGAGAGAGAGAGAGAGAGAGAGAGAGGAGAATTAGGAGGGAATTTCTGGAAAGGCCTTTGTTTGCAAAGGAACTTGTATGCATTGCAACAACCGTGTTCATTATGCACTGTGAAAGGCAGAAGTATGCACAAATAAGAGAGCGACAAAGGAGTGTGCAAAGGGGAAGGAAAACTTTTGATGGATGAAACTTTCGCAATTTGGTAGCATACAAAATTTTTTGCAAAGGTACCGTATGGAGTACATACATACAGGGTATAGAGCTGCGGCAGAGGAGAGGAGGAGGAGAGAGTGGTGATGGGTGAGTGGGTTGGAGGAGAGCCGCACACACTGTACCACCAGCTCCATGTTGAACACACTCTCTGGCATCAGGGCTGTGGGGAGAGACGGTGGGGGGGAGAGAGAGGGGAGAGAGGGAGAGGGGATGGTTAAGAGGCAACAGAGTGAGGTATGCTAGAGGAATGCAACACATTCTTGACGAGCGAAGCAAGCAGTTCCAATATTTCACGCGTATTTAGAATCACGTATAAATTACTGTGTGTGCCGGTTAACCGTTGGAAAAATCCCGCATGCAGATGACTAGGCGGGCTCGCTTCGCTCGCTGAAAAAACATGGCAACTTTAATGTATGAGCATAATATGATGGGTCCATGACTCCATGCAACAGGTTGCTAACATGTACCATGTGTGTTGGCTTTAATGAAGGAAATGGAGCATATTGCTCCTACCCTCATTATACCTATAGAAGTATGTAGCTTACTAGCACAAGTTGGACCACATGGTGAACAGAGGGACATTTCCGCAGTACACACACACATATATATACATATATACCTCTTGCCTCCTCGATGCCTAGACTGGTGAGGTGCCGACAGATGGAGAGAAGTCCTCCCAGTAGCAGCTGCTGGGTGTACTCTAATTGGAGCCTCTCACCCTCCTCGGCTTGCAGACACCTTAAAAACACAGGGAGATGGATAAACCACTGAGAGGAAGAATTTAGTAGTGGGAGAAGAATGTATTACAGAGTGACAGAGTATATAAGTACCAGTATATACACATTACACAATGTGTACATACAAACTGTACAACCCCCATGCAATAGAGGAGAGAAAGTCTACAGGAAAAAACATGGTAAAACGGAGAACTTAAAGAGGGTGTGGCAAGTACAGCAACAAACTGCGGAAAAATTTTGCTCGCTGCCGACAGATTGATAAAGCAGCTGCTATGAAAGAGAGGGAGAAGGGGAGGGTGCATAAGGGTCACCTGCTGAGGAGGGCAAAGTAGTGAGGGGTGAGGAGGTGAGAGTCGGTGACTGAAGAAGAGCAGCTGTCCTGCAGCAACTCCAGAAGAACAGTGACTCCCCTCCATCCACGGGGAGGACCCTGTTCGTTAGCCGATGATGACTTCCCGGCCAGTTCGACCTCCTTTGTGTGCCTGTATGACAACACACACACACACACAACAGGGGGAAACAGTGTGAAATAAAGCAGGCATCAAAAGGGTTAGCGTAATTGTAATCGTTGAAGAATGGATGGCAAAGGGCCGCAGAATTGGTGGATGTTTGCATGCACGCATCACATGCATGCACCACTTACATGTCTGATGCACGCACCGCAGACGCGCGCTATGGTGCCGCGCACGAGCCAGACTTGCACTTGACTGCGTAATGTGGAACCCCACCACGCGCGTGGGAGGAAGCGCACGGTGCGGCTGCACAAATCCAGCCAAACTTGCACCCAGACTGTGGAACCCCACCACGCGCGTGGGAGGAAGCGCACGGTGCGGCTGCACAAGTCCAGCCAAACTTGCACCCGGACTGTGGAACCCCACCACGTGCATGGGAGGAAGCGCACGGTGCGGCTGCACAAGTCCAGCCAACTGCACCCGAGACTGTGGAACCCACCACGCGCATGGGAGGAAGCGCACGGTGCGGCTGCACAAGTCCAGCCAAACTTGCACCCGGACTGTGGAACCCCACCACGTGCGTGGGAGGAAGCGCACGGTGCGGCTGCACAAGTCCAGCCAAACTTGCACCCGACTGTGGAACCCACCACGCGCGTGGGAGGAAGCGCACGGTGCGGCTGCACAAGTCCAGCCAAACTTGCACCCGACTGTGGAACCCCACCACGCGTGGGGGAAGCGCACGGTGCGCTGCCAAGCCGCAAACTTGCACCCGACGTGGAACCCACCCCGCGGGGAGGAAGCGCACGGTGCGGCTGCACAAGTCCCAGCCAAACTTGCACCCAGACTGTGGAACACCACGTGCATGGGAGGAAGCGCACGGTGCGGCTGCACAAGTCCAGCCAAACTTGCACCCGGACTGTGGAACCCCACCACGTGCATGGGAGGAAGCGCACGGTGCGGCTGCACAAGTCCAGCCAAACTTGCACCCAGACTGTGGAACCCCACCACGTGCATGGGAGGAAGCGCACGGTGCGGCTGCACAAGTCCTGCCAAACTTGCACCCAGACTGTGGAACCTCACCGTACGAGTCAAAGAATGAGCGGACCAATGTATTATATCTTTCCTTGATTGATGTTGCCCCACATCCACCAACTTAATGGGCATTAAAACAGGAGTAAAGAGTGGTTAAGAAATTCGGACATACCTCTGTTTCTTCCTGGTGGGAGTGGGAGGAGGGTCCTCTCCTCCGAGGTGTCTGCTGAGTCCCGTCACCACCTCCGCCACTAGCTCTGCACTCAACTCCAACTGACAACCAGAGAGGTGGGGACAAAACCAAACACATCATGGGAGCTCCAAAACAGGAAGAAAACCACCTTTGTCTTATTCTTATTTGTGACAAGAGGCTCCTATATTTGCATTTTTGTAGCACACGGGGTGAAAAAGCGACAAATCACTATCCTTGCCACTTCGACTACAGTGGAGTATGATAGTATCATCTTCTATCTCGCTGCACCTGATCCTATCTTGACCCAAATTTCGCTGTCAATCAGGATATATGGGATGGTAGTCAACGATTTGTGCCTTTGTTGAGGCACAAGAGTGGAAAAAGAGACAAACTAACTATCCTTAATACTTTGACTACAGTTGGAGTATGGATCTTTGATCTCACTGCACATTTTCAAGAGGCCCCTCTCTCCTAAAAATTCTTCATCTGGTTCACTTTTCTATGCCCCACCATTGTCGCTACCTTCTTGATGCAGTTTTTCACCATGGTAGCACCCTCCGACCTCTGGGTGGTGGTTAGGAGTGAGAGGAGGGAGTTGAAGAGGTTAATCTTGAGAGAGTCGGCTGACACGGCAGCAAAGAAGGCAGGGGTGGTGGGGGTGGGGACCTGCAGGCCGAGTGGCCGGCGGCCCGCCGTCTACCCTCATTCTAATATACGGCATCCAAATTGCGCCTAGCGGCAGCACAAGGAAAACGCCCCGTCCGCTGGTGCCCGTCTCTCCCCCCCTTTCCCACCCCTCCTCCGTTTTTTGCTTTTGCCCCCTTGTGGCCTTTGGACCACCCCCTTCCTATCCACCCGTCCAGCACACAGCCAGACCCAGCACACAGAAAACAGACAGGGCAAGCCACCCCCAGGCAGCACCACCAGGCCAGCAGCCCCAAAAGAGACCCAGCCCCAGCACCCCCACCCCAGCCGGCCCCAAGGGAACCAGCCCCCAGGAAGCCAGGGAAAGCAGCCCCCCCAGAAACACCCCAGCCCCAGCCAGCCCAGCAGACCCCCCCCACCAGTCAGAGCAGACAGGCCAAGCAAGGCCCCCCCCAGGCAAGAAGGCAAAGCCCAACACCCCCCATGAACAGACAGATACCCAAAAGCAGACATCCACCCAGCAGCAAGTATGCCAGCCAGCCCCCCACAGAAAAGCCACGCCAGGGCATAAGCCAATCACCAGCCATTTAGTGCATACATTCCACATCCTCCCAATCAATTTCCACCAATCACCAGTCCATTTACCCCCCCCCCCATTCCCATACCCACCTCCACCCCCATTCCATTTAGTTTTCCCCCCATATTCATTTAGTTATATTTCACCCTCCGTTGTATATACCTGATGCAGTGCCATCTCCAAAGGAGAAGGGAGGGAGGGAGAGAGGGGAGTTGTCAGACCGAGGGCTCTCAGAAGCAGCTGGAACGAGAGGTGTGTGTCGGAGGATTCGAGGAAGGTTTCCAGGAAACGGTTGGCCACATGGGGAGTGAGGCAAGCCAGACACAGCCGCAGTGTCTCCACTTCGTGGGGAACCAGTAGGGTCTCCGCTTCTGGGGGGAGGGGAGGGGGGGAGGGGGGAGGAGGGGGGAGAGAACAGTTGAGTATAGCAAACACGCAAATAACAAAAACAGTGCACAACAGAATGTTAAATTCGGATGATCTTACAGTACATTATATACCATTGGGAGAGGATTTGGAGTGAGCAGAGCATTTTTCCAGCAGTTTCTTCAGGAGAGGCTGAGTGGCCGACACCTTCAGCTACATATCATATAGAACACATACACACACATACAGTGTAAAAGGTGAAATAGAAGAGGGCCTGAAATGCAGTCACATTATGCACATACAGTATCATTCTTCCATGGGAAAATGCTGTTTTGTACACACAGTATTCACGGGGGGGAAATTTCAATCAATTTCAAGGAATTTGGCATGGAAACGCCACACTATGGCTCCGTCGGAGTTTTATTATGACCTAAAAATAAATTTAACGCTAGAAAAACACGCCAATGCCAAACTACATATTACGGACCTCTGAATCCACATGTACTAGAATCCTGAGCAGAGAGGCCTGCACATGAGGAGGAGGGGACAGCTCAACCACGTGGGTGAGAATCCCTCCCAGGAGCCCGTCCAGAACTGCATTCCTATCTCTTAGCTCCAGCTCCTTCCTCGACGTCTGATGTCTCCCCGGGGCCGGCTCCGTTGCTGAGAGCTGCCCAAGGAGATGAGGCAGGAAGGAGGGGTCGGAGGTCAGGGAGAGTTCAGAGTCGACAAGAATGTCGTAGGACGTTTTTGTAGAGGGTGGGGATGTGTCGATTTTGTAGGCTTTGCTGCGGGGTGTGGGAGCGCTGAGACGGGCTGATGACGTTTTGACTGGAGGAGGGAGAGACAGACGAGCGTCTGTTGGCGGATGGGTTGGAAGGGACTGGTGAGTGGGATGAGGAGAGATGGCACGACTGAGGAGAGGAGGACACGTGACGAGAGAATCACAATATATACACTCTTTGAACATCATTCAAATATTGATGTGATGTACGTGAAAGGTGAGGAGCCTACCAGGACAGAGATGGGTGGTGAGGGCCAGCACACTCTGAGGAGGAACACACTTGAGGTACGACGAGAACACGGCGAGACTAGAGGCCTGTGTTGCTACGGAGATGCAGCCGGGGGGCGGGGGGTCGTCGAGGGCGATGGGGGCCGTCTCCACATCATGGCAAGAAACCTCAGTAGGTGGCCTCTGTTGGAGAGGTGGACCTACAGCAGCGATAATTTGCAGAGAAAACTTGTGTGTTCCCAAATCACATATTCGCAGACATGAATGTACAAAAATCTACAAATTCACAAAATTTTTCTCCCCCAAAGTTTCCCACTATACAGTAGGACATACAAACTTTTAGTAATTCGTGAAAGAGATCCTGAGACGGCCTGGGAGCCACGTCGTGGAGGGTGTGAGAGGTGAGGAGGGAGAAGAGAGAGAGAAGGGCAGAGTGGTACAGCCACTGTTCGTTAGCGTCGTCACCCTCACTGTCTCCAGGGACCCCCAGCCACATTTCTGGTGGACGTCACATGACGTCACGTGATGTGCACATGAGAATGGGGGACTGACCTGTTGAGACCTCGACTGTCGGTAGGTGGGTTACTAGGGTGTCCAGTAGCCATAGTAACATCAGGTAATGTGCCTGATGTGACCGGAGGTTCTTTCTAACAACAGGACGAATAATATCAACAAGAGAAGGAATGGGCTACGAGAGAGAGAGCCATATAAAGATGAGAAAAAATATTGAAATGTTGCTGGAGCAAATACTACAAGGCATAAAAAAAATTCATCGGGATGAAAATATTCCGAATTGATCTTCAACCTACATAGTACTTGTTTGAAGGCAAAGTTGTTGTGTGCTGTGTTTTGTGGTGACATTTCAGTTTCTATGTGAGTTGTAGAACATGTACTGTCGCCCAGCTCACAGCAATACTCTCTCGTGCATACTGCAGCAGTGACAGGGCTGGTCGCAACCAGTACGTACAGTGGGTGGAGTCTGTCTCCATGGCACACACCCAGCATTCCGATAAACACAAAATGGGCGGGGTCGTCTGGTGAGCTATCAGTGGCCTTGCTGAGTAGCTTCTTCACCTACAGGACAAAACAAAACACACACATTTTTTTATAAACCCTTGGCACACAAGAGTTAAATTACTTGGTTTGTGTGTTCTGTCTGTTAGTGTGTGTGATCACTGAAATTTTGAACTCGTGTTTTGCTAGCTAAAAAGTAGACCACGTCATGCCACTCTCCATGAAAAAGTGAGACTGACCAGCTGGTTCCTGACGGAGGGCTGGAGCAGGGCGAGGACGGAGCCGAGATGTCTGATGAGGGCAGAGTTTGCAGCTGCCAGGGCCACACTGTCTTTCTCTGACCCACTGTTGCACCCTGACCTCCAGTCTGAATAGTATGAAGTATATTTAGGCCACTCTGCAATCTCCAGCTATAGCTTACGTGTTTAAGGGGACCCGCCATGCGTTTTTAGCAGAGACAGGAGAAACCTGTATTTCCTCTCACACACCACCACTAAAGGAGCGAAGGAGCGATTTTGCCACAAAAGACGTATTCCACACAACTATTTAGGCCTACTCAATTTTTCACGATGACTTCTGATGGTGGATTGCGCTGCACTCTACAGCTATAGCCTACGTGTTTAAAATGGTTTGTTGGCCTGTATTTCCTCTCACACACTCACAAAAAGTACGAAGACTTTATTCCACACCAACTATTTAGGCCACTCAATTTTTCACGATGACTTCTGAGGGTGGATTGCGCTGCAATCTCCAGCTATAGCCTACGTGTTTAAAATGGTTTGTTGGCCTGTATTTCCTCTCACATACTCACAAAAAGTACGAAGACTTTATTCCACACCAACTATTTAGGCCACTCAATTTTTCACGATGACTTCTGATGGTGGATTGCGCTGCACTTTACAGCTATAGCCTACGTGTTTAAAATGGTTTGTTGGCCTGTATTTCCTCTCACATACTCACAAAAAGTACGAAGACTTTATTCCACACCAACTATTTAGGCCACTCAATTTTTCACGATGACTTCTGAGGGTGGATTGCGCTGCAATCTCCAGCTATAGCCTACGTGTTTAAAATGGTTTGTTGGCCTGTATTTCCTCTCACACACTCACAAAAAGTACGAAGACTTTATTCCACACCAACTATTTAGGCCACTCAATTTTTCACGATGACTTCTGAGGGTGGATTGCGCTGCACTCTCCAGCTATAGCCTACGTGTTTAAAATGGTTTGTTGGCCTGTATTTCCTCTCACACACTCACAAAAAGTACGAAGACTTTATTCCACACCAACTATTTAGGCCACTCAATTTTTCACGATGACTTCTGATGGTGGATTGCGCTGCACTTTACAGCTATAGCTACGTGTTTAAAATGGTTTGTTGGCCTGTATTTCCTCTCACATACTCACAAAAAGTACGAAGACTTTATTCCACACCAACTATTTAGGCCACTCAATTTTTCACGATGACTTCTGATGGTGGATTGCGCTGCACTTTACAGCTATAGCTACGTGTTTAAAATGGTTTGTTGGCCTGTATTTCCTCTCACATACTCACAAAAAGTACGAAGACTTTATTCCACACCAACTATTTAGGCCACTCAATTTTTCACGATGACTTCTGATGGTGGATTGCGCTGCACTTTACAGCTATAGCCTACGTGTTTAAAATGGTTTGTTGGCCTGTATTTCCTCTCACATACTCACAAAAAGTACGAAGACTTTATTCCACACCAACTATTTAGGCCACTCAATTTTTCACGATGACTTCTGATGGTGGATTGCGCTGCACTTTACAGCTATAGCCTACGTGTTTAAAATGGTTTGTTGGCCTGTATTTCCTCTCACACACTCACAAAAAGTACGAAGACTTTATTCCACGCCAACTATTTAGGCCACTCAATTTTTCACGATGACTTCTGAGGGTGGATTGCGCTGCAATCTCCAGCTATAGCCTACGTGTTTAAAATGGTTTGTTGGCCTGTATTTCCTCTCACATACTCCCAAAAAGTACGAAGAGTTTAGCCAAATATTTAGGCACACCCAATTTTTTCATGTTGAATTCTGAGAGTGGATTTCACTGCACTTTACAGCTATAAGCTATAGTAAAGGTGTGGTAGGAAGGTTTGCTGGCCTGTATTTCACCTCAATAAAAGTACGAAAAATTGAGCAAAAAAAAAAATGGGACACCTAAACTTTCACAATCACTCACAGAGGGTGGATTGCACTGCATTTTCCAGCTATAGTCAAGTTTTCCAGGATGGTTTGCTACCCTGTTCTTTTCCTTATTATCCTGCTAAAAGTACGAAAAGTTTAGGCCACCCTATTTTCCACAAAATTCCTGGCAATTATTCACTCCACGTACTCACGACGACATGTTGGCCTGTCTTTCCTTTCACATACTCTCTACTAGCATACACAGTGAAAAGCACTGAAGTGCAAACCCTCGGCAAACTGCGCACGCGCGGTACCACTAATTGATGGGCTGGGCTTTTAGTATGCCACACCACTCATCTCCTAACTAGCGCTTGTTGAAAAGTTACGTAGTTTGTGAATCTTCACTGACCATCGTCCTCCATCAGTTCTCTAAGACAATTCACTAGCACATGATCTGCTTCCGACAGGACACTGGCCACACCTCCAGCAAGCCTATTGCCACGGCGACGAACAAACAACAGCGGGAGCGACGTAATTACGACATCGTCGAGTTGTTCCGGGAGGAGCGTCTTGGAGAGAGGTGCGGAAGTGAGGAGAGAGAGGGCAGAGGTGGCGATGTCTTGCCAGGGTGTTGGTGACAGTGGGAGGTTGTGACGAGTGAGGATGGAGAAGAGAGGCGGAAGGAGGAACTCAGTTGAAACATAGCGAGTCAACACCTTCATATGTGGCGTTCGGATAGAGACACAGAGTAAGAGAAAAAATGAAGAAAGGAGAAAGAAGGAAGAGGGGGGGGGGGATATTTCAACACAAGTCATCCGCCAATTCAGATGCACACCTTTCCTCCCAGGTCTAGGACAGCCGCCACTACTGCTGGCTCATCGTCATGGAGACGAGACACCAGACAAGAGCTTGCAAACTCCCTGTCTTGCAAGCCACCCTTCTGAAGGAGTAAGGAAATTGAGAAATTAAGAGCACAGCTTCCAACACAGAAATGCAATTGTCGAACTCTACTTCGATAGTGGGGAAACCCTTAGACAACAAACTACCACAAATTTGGGGTCAAAGGATATTCAAACTAATTCTTGGGGAGGCAACAAGATAATTTTTTTCTCCACTTAATTCTCCAATATACTGATATACAAAAGAGAACGACGTTTCAGGTCACCTTGGTCTTTTGACGGAGGAGTTTCCCGAGCTGCCTGACAGCTGCTTCCCTCACAGAAGGCTCCGGATGATGCACGCTCAGCACCAGGGTCCCCTCCACATCTCCCCCCTCCCCCCTCCTCCCTCTTCTCACCACCTTCACAAAGTCACAAGAAACAGAGTCACTCGCAAAGACTGTCGACTTTTGTGGAACCTCCGAATAATGGACACATTGGGACCAGGCATTTTGTCCTCTATAGGGAGGTTGACCTCTCTTTGGAGGTTAAAAAGTACTAGAATGATAAACGTTTGGTACCTCAAAATGTGTCTTTAATTGAGAGGTGTTTTCTTTTGTGTCCTGGGAGTCCCATTATACACAGAGAGTATATATTATTACCTGGTGCCTGGATCCAGGAAGAGCTGTGGCTACAAATTCATGGATCCATTTTAGCCCTTCACTCTTCCCTTCCTCTCCCTCTCCTTCCTCCTCCTCCTCCTCGTCATCAGTTCCTTCTTCTTTCATGCCACTCTTCTTCCAAGCTGCAGCCATTTCCACTACAGCATTTCGAAGTGCCTTGTCCATCAGCTGAGGATATCTGCACAGGACCCAGAGCAAAGACAGGGGTAATTTTACTCTAATTACCAGGGGTTTCTCCTAACTTGGCGTCCAGTGACTGCGCCAGAGTGACCATTGAACTCTTCAGTGACTCCATTTTTTCCTCTCCTCTTCCCTCGCCCTCTTCCACCTCCTCTTTCGTTAACGATTTCTCCACACACTCACTTACAAAGTGGTGAAGTAATTCACTGCATTGGAAACCAAAATCTTGCATGGTGCGACAATTATAGGGTCGCTATTAAACAATTACATCAAGTTAATTTTCACATTTGATCTGTTGCTTAGGTAACTTAAAACCGGCAGTGGCCCAACAATGCAGTACGAATACATACCGTATTAACGACAGGACCACCTCCTCATCAAGTGGTACCTCGTCCAATGCGGTCAGTATTATCTCCAAGGCAACCTCATCAGCGTGGTTACCAAAGTGTGCACTAATTAGAGCCGAGAGGAGCAGTTTGAGGAGAGGGGAGACGTCGTGTGAGGAGGAGATGGAGAAGAGGAGGGAGGGAAGGCCACACACTTGCAGCAGATTCCGCACAGTCCTACAACATGAGTGGCAGTGTTTCAGAACAAGGTCCTATTGGGCACACGCTATATAAATGGTGGGTTTCGGAAACTGAAAATAGGGAGGATCCCCTCTAATCAGGACACCAATGGGCCAGAAGAAAGTGCCCTAATGATGAGACTTTATTTGAAGGGTTAAATTGCATGCAAGAACTGTTGTTGGGGAAGAAAAGGTGTCCTTAATAGACTTTTTCTTTGGAGAAGTGTTCCATTCTGTGTGAGCCTTGCTTGCAGGAGGCATCTCACACAATCATACAGTAGCTAAGCTAAAGGTAATGCTGCTCACTTGCTGGAGAGTTTGGTGATGTTCTGAGTGTGGCAGACGACAGCAGCACAGCACAGCGCCTCACTGCTCAAATCAGACTCCAAATGCTGCAAAAATATTTCTATTACATCATCATGACTTCACACACACGTTCGTTACCTTGGTGATGGCATCCAAGAGCGCAGTAGAGACTCTACGTTCGAGACTTGCTTTGGACACCAGCTGACCAGCTATCATGTAGGACGCAGCGCGATACTCTACAACTCGCGACTTCAACCCCTTCAGAAGATACGGGAGCAACCGACCAACCACCTCTTCATCGGTGCCCCCCTCTGATTCTAGTACTGTAATGACAGTGGAACAGTATAACGCCAAAACACTGCGCGAGGAGCCGGGAGGCGAGCGTTTGTGAACGGCGACAGCGCGGGGGACCATCTCGCAGACGAAAACGAGGAAGGACAGGTCTGAGAGACAGTGTTGGACTAGGGAGAGCCTGGAGAGCGGGGAACCGGCCTTCTGGAGCGGCCTGAGCCAGTGCCAACGGGACGACGGAGACTTTAGCGGGAGAAGTTGTACGACGCGCGCGAACAGCTTCGTCTCGTAGTACGGCAGAACGCACTCGACCACGGCGTCCACGTTGCACGAGTGGACGCGGTAGGCGTGCACGAGCCACTCCAAGCACTTCTGGGCCGGCTTCAAGAGCAGGTACGGCGAGATTCGACGGAGGAAGACGGACAGATTTCGGTCCAGCTCGACCAAAACGTCAGGAGTCTGGACGCTACGCTCGAACTCCTTGGAGCTCTCCGTGAAGAGGGAGTCCTCAAACTGGGAGAAGGTGTGGTCGATGCCAATGAGCTCTTCCAGGCCGTTGCGACCCAGGGAAAAGAACGTGTCGGCGTCCATGTCCGCCGCTTCTCTCCGGTCGAAGAGGAGGGAGGGACGCTTCTTGGAGACGAGCTGTCGCAGGGACGGCTGGCCGGGGATGGCTAGTCGCTCCAGTTGCCTTGCCAGGGACGTCATGGCTGCAGAATCCCTCAAGCTTTCTCTTCGAAGACTAAGAGACGTGTGACCGGGCACCACGTGGGTTTTACAATTTTTCTTTGTGGGGTTCGCTAAATTAGAGTCCAAAAGTGAACGATGTTGAGCAATCTCTTCAGAAGGTAAGCCTGATAAAAAAAACAGGTAAACACATATTACAGCCTCGGTTTTTCTCACATCTCTGTCTCCCCGTACCCAAACAGGGTCTCCAGAGTTGCTCCGGCTGGTACAGCTGCTAACTGTCGACGAACTCTCCACTCTCCTCCTCCCCTCTCCTCCCTCATCCCCATTGTCGTGGAACAAACAGTGGGTAGAACGAACCACCAGACACACTCCGCCAACTCTTATTTCCCTCCTAAATACTCTCTCCTCCAACAATAAGCACAACGTGTTCCTCTGCAGGGAAGAGGGGAGAGAGCGTATGACATATTTTCACGACTTCTAAAGGAGAGAATCATATGTCTGATGGGACCAGTAAGTACACACATATATATACTTCAGCTAAAGTCCAGACTCTAAACTTATATAAGAGAACCGTATATCTTGTTTAGATCAACGACGAGTACTCTAGTCTGATAGTGGCACAGTTGCTGTATCTCCAGTCGGAGGACCCCAAAATGCCCATTCACATGTACATCAACAGTCCAGGTGGGACTGCATTATATACCAGAGTGATTTTTATTGAGGTGTATGTGGGTGTGTTGGACCAGTGCTCAGGGTGTCCATTGTTGTTGTTTGCTGGTGAGGCTAAAAAGAGGTGTGCAAATGTGCAAACCTTTTCTGGCAAAGCTTTGTGGTACCGTTATTAAACCCAGAGTTGTAGGGATTTCGCAGATGCTTATTCCAATTGTACTAAAGGCAGATAAATCCCCTGCACATAACTTTACCGCCATATGTACATTGGAACATGAAATTCCTTTTCTGAGACAATTTCTGAAAAAGTGTGAGGAGCCATCAGGTTCGGCGACAACACCGGTATGGTGCGATATTGCTGCTGTCTGAATGCAGGAGGTTCGGTGACGGCAGGTCTGGGTATCTACGACACGATGCAGTACGTGAGACCTCCAGTGGCCACCTGGTGCGTGGGGCAGGCCTGCAGCATGGGGGCATTCCTACTGGCGGCCGGTCAGAGTGGTCTCAGACACGCCCTACCCAACTCCAGGGTGATGATTCACCAGCCTCATGGCGCCACGGGGGTAAGTACGTAATGACATTACATAGTGGGAGGAGTCAATCAGATTACCCAAGGACATTACATAATGGGAGGAGTCAATCAGATTACCCAGTGGAGCAAAAGAACATTGCAAGGGTGGTTTAAATCTGATTGACTCCTCCCATTATGTAATGTCCTTGGGTAATCTGATTGACTCCTCCCACTATGTAATGTCCTTGGGTAATCTGACTGACTCCTCCCACTGTGTAATGTCCTTGGGTAATCTGACTGACTCCTCCCACTATGTAATGTCCTATGATGATACACCAGCCTCATGGCCTCTCATTATGTAATGTCCATAAACCACCCTTGTGTCTACTGGGGCAATAGGGCCAAGCAAGCGACATAGCAATCCATGCCGAGGAATTCATCAAGCTGAAGTCGCTACTCAATAGACTGCTGGCTCAGCACACTGGACAGCCGGTGGATACTATTGGTGGGTGTGGTCTCTGGGTCTCATTCTAATTCCACATATCCGGGTTCCAATAATGTAAAATCTCTTTCTGACTTTAACATGTGCAACTTTGATGCTGAACCAGAACAAGCAATGTAAACGTTTTTGGCAAGCGAATGAGTACAAATATTCGTGATCCGGGCAGTGCTACAATCATGCATTATTATGAGTTTGGTTTTGTTGGTTTATCATTCTTGTCCTGGCTTGCAGAGAAGTTGACTGACAGGGACAAGTTTATGAGCGCGGAGGAGGCAAGGGAGTTTGGGATGGTGGATGCGGTGCTAGCTCACCAATCTTCTCCCCCCGACAGCAGTAGTAACGGTGATGGCAGTGAAGACAAAGTGCCACAGGTAGCCAGCTAGTTAGTCAACTCTCGATAAGGACATCATATTTCCCACGCTATGAATTCTTTCAATTGTCGTTCTAATGGTGTGATCACACCTTTTGAGCATACGACACTCCAACAGTTCGAATTCAATCAGTTGAGAAAACCACGATCTAAAATCTTGCACAAACTACGTTTATAAATGACTGCTGCAACATTATGTATATAATAATACATCCCCAAAATCTCTCAGTCAGTTACGACACACTGGATAATCAAAACTAACCTGCAGTCAAGCGCATGCACATATGGGATGCTACATAAAATATATCTTCCATACAATGAACATGGAATGAGTTTATTGCCTAATATAATTATACTAAACATGCTACTGTGTAGGTAATATACAACGATTGTCAAAATTACGGATAAGCTAGTGTTATCGTAGGTATTATATACAAAGTGTTAGGAAAAGGTTTTCAGCTAATACTACGTCTTCAAAGCTTCCAAGCTTGTCTCATCATGAGATCAAAGTAAGCATTGTTGTCGATGGAGGCACTGACGCCACAGTAGTAGTTGATGAACTCCTCACGAGTGATCTGAAAGAGGGGAAGAGAGAAATTTGGATTAATACAGCGGAACTCTTCTCTAAGGGCACCCATGACACCTCTCTACTTTTTTCTTTCACCAAGAGCAGTTCTTGAAGCAGGGTTTTGAAAACCTGACCTCAATAATAATGGCCACTTTCTTCTGTTCAACTGCCCATATTAGAGATGCCCCCAGCGAAACGAGAGGAAAAAAAACATGTTCAGAAAGTATTTCCTGACACCCATTACACAAAACTGGTATTGAAATTCTCAATTTCTCCCATTATGTTCCGAAACAAAATTCTTGGAGTAAATCAATAGCTAGGAATGCGGAAGCGTTGCAACGTTGGATGCACATGGTGGAAAGCTGCCACGCCTAGAAACATGCAATACAGCTCGGTTTCTTCCCCTACGGACTGTAATTGCAGCTTTCATGAAGATAGAGAGAGAGGGGGAGGGAGGGAGGAGAGAGAGAGAGAGGGAAGGAGGGAGGGAGAGAGAGAGAGAGAGAGGGAGGGAGGGAGGGAGAGAGAGAGAGAGAGGGAGGGAGGGAGAGAGGAGAGAGAGGGAGGGAGAGAGAGAGAGGGAAAGGGGGAAATGCAAGCCCGAGTTCCTGCTACTCACCTTCCCATCAGGGTCATCGGGAGAGTCAAAGGTCTTGAGGAAATCCGCAAAGGCCTGTTCCTCAGTCCATTTCCCGTTGGCTACCTTCGGGTGTTTCCTCACGTTGTACACCCTGCAGCAGAAACAGAGCACACACACTCACTTTGTACACAGTTTGATCTTGGATCACATTCACTACGCCTTTATTATAATCACACCTCAGAAAAACTACTCAACTAAATGTCGTATTGTGGGGTTAGTTAAAGTGTTTTGAGTAGTGGCCTACATATTATTTGCTCTCTTGCACACATGGGCACACACAGCATATTCCATCTTTTCATGCGGGTTTTTTTACGAATTTGAGAACAAACTTCGAACTTTTATCCCATCTAAAACCCACTGAGGGTGGGGTGGTGGTGAGGGGGCGGGGCTTTGAACCCACAACACCAGGCATACAAGTAGGTGCTAAATCTATCACAATGCAGTGTTAGGTGCCAAACTGTCTGTGTTTTAGTCAGTGGGTGCAGTAATGAAGTGTGGGACAAACAGAACCCCAACTGACACAGACACACATTGTGGTTATCAGCACCTTCTACCATGAACCCCCAAATGAGTGGAAAATTTCGCAAACCCAGATTCGGATACAAATTTCTCAAGCTAAAAAATATGTTGCGGACGTTTTTTCCCTACAAAGGTTCCAGTTTATCAAGCGCTTCGCTTAGTAACGTGCCATAGAAATTAATAAGGACTGTGCGTTGATGTGTGTGTGTGCGCTAACTGCTGATCTGTACTCACTCACCCCTTCAAGTCTTCGGTAGTTATAATGCCATCTCCCGTCTTGTCAAGCTTGGCAAATGCCTTGTCAATCATTGCAATACGAGACGTGCCCATTGGTGGCTATAGATGTTGGGAGTGCCATAAAGTGCCGGTATGTATGTGCGTGTTGAAAGAAGAAAACAATGGATGTTTACACAGGCCAGGTACACAATGCCTTTTAGTGTTGGTGCAGACGTCATAAATAGCCAAACTTACACGAAGTGCCTTTAAGAATTCATCAAAGCTGAGGGTTCCGCTTCTGTCCGTATCAAACGTATTAAACATCGCTTTTGCTTCCTGAGCATAGGAGAAAAAGCGAGAGGAAGGGAAGAGAGAGATAGGGTAAAATTCATACTCGGCTCGACAAACTGCACAGCCAGCTAGGGCACAGAGACTGATTACACACATGCCCGCCCAAAACCCACAAAACGAAAAGTAATTTTACCGCGTCTGGCAAAGACATGCCACAATCGTGCAGTCCCTTCTTGAACTCGTCGAAATCCAGCGACTTGCTCCCGTCGTCGTCCATATTCCGGAATGTTCTGGCCACCGAGAAAAAAAACGAACACGTGGTAACAGCGCTGTTTCAAAAGAGATGGCTAGCTAGGGATGTGTACCTGCCCAATCCTTTTATCCCGGAGGCTCCGCGCGAGAGGCATTTTAGCCTAAGCTTTTCGATGGGGTCCGTGGTCTTGTCCACGGCGGCTGCAGATTTCTGCTTTAGCTCCTTCTCCTGGCGACTGAAATCTGCCATTCTTCTGTCTTCTGCACAGCCCTTGATAGCTCCTCAATCCCCTAAAAAGGTGGCACTTTCGAAAAAGAGACAAGTTACGTATGCACTTGGGGGGGGCGGGAAATCTAAAATTAGCCCGTGCACGTGGACGCGGGCACGTGATAGCGAAGACCACCTGCGCATGCGCAAGAGTCGCATTGCGCGTACGCGTGTGTGTGAGAGTGCGTGCAACATGGCCAACTTGAAGGTGTTACAAAATATGCACTTCAGGGATTACTGGGTGTCTTCTATAGGTGGGGATAATAGGAGGAACAGGACTGGATGATCCAGACATTCTCTCTGAAAGGGCAGAGAAACACGTCAACACTCCATTTGGAAAAGTGAAGAAACTCAGAAAAAAGTGGCATTTTGCTTTGTTTCTGATCTCTTTTACAGCCGTCTGACTGTCTCATCACAGGGACGATCCAGGGAACACCATGTGTTCTGCTGTCAAGGTTACCATGTGTTCAGTCAACACTCTAGAAATAGAGGCACCATTTTAGGGCACATGATCAATCTCTTATAGTAGGAGGTCAATGCACCATACGCAATTTCAAACACATAATTGTAAGCGAAATACAAGTTGTGGATACTGTCATGTGCTAGTAGTTGACTGGTAAGTGCCACCTGTGATCAGGCACTTTGTTCGGCGGTAGGTCGCCTCCAGTAATAATATATATTACTGTAATCCTAGTGTTTGTAAGCGGATGTGTGTGTAGTGTGGACTCACAGTATGTGTGTACACGTATGTGTGTCAAACTCGCCACACAATTTATGTCACACTAACCATGAAAATGGAAGGAACTATTTCGGTTAGTTCACTGTTCTCAACAGGCACGGAAGACGGCATGGCCTCTCACCTACTCAAGTCAACTACAGAGCCAACATGTACGCTCTCAAGGAGGAGGGGTGTACCCATGTGATAGTCACCACAGCCTGTGGGTCTCTGCAAGAACACATCCACCCAGGAGACATTGTCATTATCGACCAGTTCATCGATCGCACGACTAAACGCCCCCTTACTTTCTACGACGGGACTCCCGGAGGTCCGGTTGGGGTGTCCCACATCCCGATGGCCGACCCGTTCTGCAATCGGACGCGCTCCGTCTTGGCTCGTGCAGTCGAGAGCCTGGGAATTAGTTTCCACAGAAAGGGGACGGTGGTAACCATCGAGGGCCCCAGGTTCTCGACGCGGGCAGAGAGCTGTCTGTTCCGTAGCTGGGGTGCTGAACTGGTGAATATGACCACTGTGCCCGAGGTCTGCCTGGCCAAAGAGCTCGGTATGTGCTATGCCAGCATTGCTCTACCCACAGACTATGACTGTTGGAAGGGACAACCAGTAAGACCTCTCTCTATCTCTCTAACTATTTATACTGTATATAAACTTTGAGTGAGCAACTTTCAAACAGGCAATTTTAGAGCCAACCATGAAATTTTATCCACACGTTTTGTGTGTGTGAAAGATTTAGTTTTTACGGCGGATGATGATGCAACGTTTCTCCGTTAAATTCTGAATACGCGTAAATTCTCTCACTTTTCTACTACAAAATGTGTATGCATGTAGACTCCGCCCCCTCTCACCAACAAGGTCAATGTGGAATGGTGATGGAAAGCCGATGAAGAAGAGCAGCGACAGTGGCAGTTCGTCTCATCATAAAGTCAGTCTCCTAACTCTACAGAAGACTGGACGGACACCATCAAAAGACCCAGGTAAGTAATACACGATAACTACGCTAATATCTATAGAGTTGGTTCTTCATACACAAACACTCTTTGCTGTGTGCACCTACAAAGGTTTCCTATGGGCACTGGACAAACAAAGGTACTGGGTGAATTTTCGGGCGTATGTATTATAGAGCACTAGACTACAAATCTCAAACTCTGTTGCATGTTGACAGTGCAGCTTGTTGGTGTGGTCTGAGGCGTCGCACATTATAGGTTTATGTCTAGCTAGTGTAGTGCTGGTGTAGTGACTTCAAGTGTTGAAACAGGACGAAAAGACTGGTTTTATGTCATATACGGACACAATTTTCAGGCAGTGTTTAGTACACACAACGGCGAGAGTGCTAGTGCAAGCAGACGTGCATTTTGCATGAAGGCGAGAGAAAGAGCTGTCCTGGGTGTAGTTCGACTTGTTTGCCTGCCGTGCCTTTCTACCTCGTTACCAAGTTGTTGCGACAGGCAATTATTCACTGATCTGCTTCTGATGCAGGACACTGGCACAGTCTTCCGTGATGCTGTTTCTAAGCAGTCATCAACTCCGTTGTTCGTGTTTTTTGTTAGCGATGCAGTTGATGATG